GGGCGAGCATGTGCCAGGGATTAGAGCTAACAAGTGGGCTAATTTGCTTCTAGCACCATTTTTTTTTTTGTTGTTTGTTTTTGCTTATTTGTTTGTATGAGAAGCTTTGTGTGACTCTTGTTTTTGAAACAGGGTCTTACTCTGCAGCCCTGGCTAGCTATCCTGGGACTCATTATGGATACCTAGCTGGCCTAGAACTCACAGAGATCCACCTGCCACTGCCTCCCAAGTGCTGGGATCAAAGGCATGTGCCACCATGCCTGGCCTGGTTTTAATTTTTGAGGCTTTTGAATATTATTTTTTTATTAATCTCACTTTCTCTTTTTCTTTTTTTTTTCTCTCCTTGCCTTAAAAAAAAAAAAATGAACTTTGGACTGGAGACTAGGCTCAGTGGTTAAAAGCATATCCTGCTCTTGCAGAGGATCAGGATTCAATTCCTAGCACCCACAACCAGGGGAAATCTGAGGTCCTCTTCTGTGCTCCATGGGCACGAAACACTCATGTGGTACACAGACATACATGCAGACAAAACACCCATACACAGAAAATAATAATAAGTACGTATTTTAAACTGAGTTTTATTTACTTTCTTTTCCTATACCACTGTTTCTTCCCCTAGAATAAAATGTATTTTCATTCAGTTTTATTTTCTTTATTGTTACCCTTGAAGTCTTGCGATGTACGTTTAAAGAGCAACATCCAGTTGTATTAGCCCACTTTCCGTGGTTGTAACAAAATACACACGCCTGGGCTTTTCACACAAAGAGATTGACTTAGCTCATAGTGAGGAGGCAGAAAACTCCAGACCGGGTGGTTGCGCTGATCTAGCCTCTCGTGAGAACCCTAAGGTAACAACCGTGTGGAGAAGAGATCATATAAGACAAAAAAGAAAAAAGATGAGGATCAGAGCTTATTCTAACAATACCCCATCTGGGTCTACCGGCACCCACCGTGAACCTAGCACTCGGGGAAGAGAGAACAGGAGGACCGGAAGTTCAAGGCCATCCTGGGGTAACAGTGAGTCTGGGTGTATTGTGAGACCATGACAAAGCAATCCACCCTCGTGGGAATTGACTGTGGCTCTGTGGGCGCCGTATGCATCCCTGTCAAGGCCAGGTTCCCGTATTACCTTCCATCAGCCCTCTCTGTTGGCATCCACATTGGGGCCTGGGCTTCTGGCCTGCGAGCTTTTGGGGAGGGCATACTTGAATCCTTTGCAAACCACAGCTTTAACATCAATGAACGGACAACGTTTGTAACCCCTAAACACAATAGTTTCTGGCCATTGTGGCACTTTCCCCCTCTTGACTTACATTCTGTTCGCTGGTATTTCACATTTGTCTGTCTTTAACAAATGGAGACACTATTTGACACACATGGGCGTGACGGGCCTTGCTACACCCACTGTTTTCTGTGCCCGCCATTCCTTCCTGTGTCTCCCGGCGATCTTCTGGAATCACTTTCCTTGTTGAAGTATACACTCTGAAAGCTCTTTGAATTGCTCTCAGCTCTTATTCACCTTTAAATGTTAGAAGGAATGTATTTTCCATTGTGTCTTTGTTTATGAAAGGGCTCTTTGCTGCAGGCAATCCTAGCTGACATTTCCTGGTCCCCCTCTCTTTGGGGACCTCATTTCAGTCTCCCAGACTATTGTAGCTACTGCTACAGTTCATGTCCCCATGTTGTCTGTACTTTCTCAATGACTTCTCTCCTCACTTCTCTACCCTTGGCATCTGAAGTTTCTGTCGGATGTGCCAAGTGCAGGCGTTCTACATGAGGCGCTTCCTGGCTCCTGGGTCTGCTCTTCATCTCTTCTAGAAAACCTTTGACTGTTGTGCCTGCCTTATTTCTTTTAGTTTCTTCTTCTGGGACTCCATTGTGAGATTTTTCTGATTCTGCTCTCTGAGCCTCTGCCATTCTTTCTATAATTTGTGTCATAACCCTTGTCACCTTATAAGCAACTCCTAACTTCCAAATCTGTTTGGCTGTGGATGGCTGATTGAATGTCCTGGGATTGTTTTTTAATTCTAGAAGTTCCATTTTGCTGCTGATGCTCTTCCCCTTCCCTGCCCTTCCTTCTCCTTTTTCCTCCTTCTCTTTCTCCTCCTCCTCTTTCTTTCCTCCTCCTCTTCCTCTTTCCACACCATCCTTCCTTGTCTTACTTATGGATATATCCTGTTATTGCAGCTTTTATTTCTTTAAACATCTTCTATGGCTTCTTGGTGTTCTGTGCTCTTCCTGTGCTCTCTGTGCCTTGCCCCTCATGGTGGCTCACACTCTTGTGGTTTGGGAAGGTGGATATGGAACCTTTCTCTTGATCTTACTCACAGAGAAAATCCTCCTAATTTAACCAAGAGGCCTTTTCCTCCAGGTTGAGACTGCTACCCTCTTACAGAGGGCTTCCTGACGCAGAGCCACCCCAGCTCTCTGGGACATTAATCTCATAGGAAACTTGCCATCTCATCCCCCTACTCCTAGCTCCCCTAAAATTCACTATCACCACGTGGAAAAATTGTTCTAGGAAACCCTGCCCGACCAATGACTAGTTTGGGTCTGCTCACACCAAGTCTAACGTCCCAGCATGTCTCTGATGAAACCAGGGTTGCAGCCCCCCCGCCCGTTCTCACCTTCTTTCATGTTTCTTCACAGTACATGGTCCCAGCTGTCATATTTTATATCCACTTGCTAAACTGCTCCTTGCAGGACACCCCCACACGAGAATGTGATGACTTGTTCATTTATATATCCTTAGCAACTAGTGCAAGGCCCAAAATATAAGTGCTAAACCATTATATGATGGATGAATGAGCAAATGAGACACAACACCTGTCTCCAAAATGCTCTCCGTCTGGCAGCTGAGCCAGACAGAGACAGTTAGTTGCAAGACAGAGAAATAACTTCTGCAATGGGGAAAGGGAGCTGAAAGGAAGCTCCATCCAGACCGGAGGTCAGGGATGTCTCTGTCCAGGCTGGAGGGAGTTGGGGATATACCTAGCTGGGGGGACGTGTAGCCATCATTTCACAAATAAAAGGCATCGGTGCAGCGGGGGGGGGGGGGATTTCGAAAAAAAATATGAGAAGTATGCTGTCTAGGGAAATGAAAGTTGTTTGGTGTGGTAAGACTGAGAAAGGGGAACTGGGCTAGAGAAAGGTCACGTGTTAGGCACCCTGTGCTCCCAAGATCCGCTGGCAGTTTGGCAGTGAGGAGGAGGAGGATGTGGGATGATTTCAGCTGCAGCAACAACAGACTCAGGCTGCAGGATAGGGGTTCCCTCTGCTTCCATGGAAGGCAAAGAGGCCGGTAAGGAGGTCCAGAAGGGGGGCCCTTGGGATCTGTGCTGGTGGCTAGTGCTGGCAATAGGAAGAACTGAGTGAGCTCATCTCATGGGCAGAGGGGCTGCTCAATTGGTATTGGGTGGGGTGATCTGAAAGATGAAGAGCCCACACCCAGATTCCTGAGCCAATACTCTTTAATTTGGGTTGGATTTAGCAACAATAAAGATAGATATATGGGCCACGAGGCTGAATTTGAATTTCAAATAAACGAGTAACTTCTTAACGGAAGCATGTCTTCAAAAGTGGAATTCATTTGCATTATCTGGAGTCCTCTTTTCAACAGACCCCAGGGTCTTCCTGACCTCACACCCACCGTCAGCTCTTCACCATGGGCTTCTCAGAGCCCTTCTCTGAGCAGCGCCCTCAAACTCCCTCCCAGACTCCTGTGCCCTCCTGCCAGTCTGGAAGCTCAGGAGCTGGTCCATCACCTAGGTTGAGTCTGTTGGGAAGACTGAAGGACAGCTAGAGCCAAGCGGGGACCCCATACCTCCCTTGGCTACCCCCACTCCCCACCCCCTCTGGAGTATTTACATGAAGTGCTACCCCAGAGCCTGGGCCCCAGTGGGGCTCAGAGCCTGGGGCCTAAGGCTGTCACTATGACCACATTATCCTTTGGGTAGCTCTGGACTTAATTTTGAAAGGCCTGGCCCTGCTTCACCTGGGTCACCTCTCCCACCCTCCCACCCAGTCATTCAAACTCCCATGATCCTTCAGCACCCTCATTAGCATGGATAAGCCAGACCAAGGATCTCCGTGCTGGACTAACCATGAGGATCTGATGGAAGATTCTGCCCGGGACCAGAGTGGAAATGAAGCCTTCCCTGTGGTGCGAATGTGGAGGTTTTGTGAAGGCTGTGATAAATGGGCCAGAGGAACTGGGCATGGGGGCATGGGCTAGCCTGCAGTGGCACTGTGAAGCCACTGGCACCCCAGGGGCCAGAAGGACTGAGCAAGGTTCTCCTCCAAGAAACGTGGGGGAGGAGGCCCTAAAACAGGAATGAAAAGGTAAGTCTGAGGAGGAGCTCTGAGGTCAAACAGCACCAGGCCTGGGACCCGAACAACTTGACTCAATTGAACAACAGGGGCTGAAGAGCTAGTTATAAGAGCATTTATACACAGGCAGGGGGACCTGAGTTCAGACCCCCGTGCCTATGTACAAAGCCAAGATTGGCCACATGAACCTGTCACCCCAGCACTGGTGTGTGTTGGGGGGATGGGAACAGGGGCATGAAACTAGACTCTCATTACTAGAGGATTGCTGGGCTTTCCGGCCCTCAGTCTGGCTCCGTATTGATGAGAAACCCCATCTCAAGGGGGTAAGTCAGCATTCTCTGACTTAGTACACATGTGCAGGGGTGCTGCGACTGCGCACATACGCCACACACATACACACGAGTACACAAATAATAGGGATAAAAATACTAATACAAACCTAGTGCAAGCAGTCACCACGCACTGAGGGCTCACTGCAGTAAGACTGAAGCGGATTCTTTCTTTTACTGAAGCTTCCAAAGATTTACTACAAAGAGTTGTCCCTGCTGTAGATGGGGAAACTAAGGCACAGAGAGGCTGGGCGACTTGTCCACAGCCACAGAGCTGGCATCTGAGCCCAGGCAGGGAGCCCAGAGCTTGTACCACACTCACCAGCCAGTGAGAGGCTGAGAACATGATTACCCAGAAACACCCAGAAAGGCGGAGGACCCCATGGGAGGATGGAGTCCTCCTCTGATTCCCTTACTGAAGTTCAAGTACAGCGTGTGTCTGATGGCTGGTGTGGGCCCTGAGGGTCTACCCCAACCAGCTGCTCTAGTGCCAGGAATGCCTGGGCACATTCCAAAAGCCCCCAAAGCGACCTCAGTCCGCTGCACAGAGAAAGAGACAATGGATGTGTGAAAGGTAAAGCCCTGGACGTCCTAGGCTTCTACTGGTCAGTGGAGCTTCAGACAGGTAACAGCTGCATTTCCAGGGGCAGGTTTGGCACCAATGCCTTGGGTCACAAGCCAACAGCGCCCCCTGCTGTCCATCCTTGGGAAAGCACTGACTTAATGAGCAGATGGTCTCCCACTGTGGGCAGAAAAGTATCTAAATGCTCAACACACACCCTTGCGTCTATCAGGAAAATCCAGTCCAACAAAGTGGTCTAGCATCTAGATCCCTCAAGCCCAGTTGGCTCAGCTTCAGGGAAAGAGACAGAGGCCTGGCCTCGGCTTCTGGTCTAACCATCTGTGAGGATTTGAAGGAGGAAGGGCTGGATTTCCTGACCTTTGGAAAGATAGAAGGTTGGAGCGATCATCACGTCAGACTGGTAAAAGAAAGAGTGACTCCAGCCAGAGGCCACAGTACTGTAAGTATCTGTAAGTGCTGAGCAAGGGGCAAGGTGTGGTCTAGAGGTGGAAACCATCCCTGCGGGTTACCAGGTCACTGTGGACTCTGTTGTCCCACCGCCAGACTACCACCTTCCCTGGATGAGCCAAGGCCACAGATTGCTGGTAGTGGGAAAAGCGGAGGCTGCAGGCCAGGAGCTGGGTTAGTGTGTCACCTGAGAGGAGCTGACTGCCTCCATCTCTGCCTTGGCTTCGGCGTCTGAGTAACGCCTTTGTGAGCAGAACCACAGGAAGAGGAAGAAACCTGCAAGACGGGCTGGTCAGTGAGTATGTCACTAGAATCCAACAGCCTCCCATTGTTGGGAGACAAAGGAACAGATCCAGAGAGCACCTCCGTGAAGTCTGGAGGCAAGCTTCTCCTCTGGGTAGAACTGCCCCTAGACCACCTTAAATCACTGACCTGTGGCTCAGTCATCATCCACCCTTTGGGCTAGAGGCCCTCAGGGACTACCCCCATCTGAGTGCCCGCCATCCCGTGAGTTCCTGCAGCCTTACCATAGAGCGAGTTGAAGATGGTGAAGAGGAAGAGCTGAGGCAGCAGAAACACACCGAAGGAGAAGAGGGCCAGAGCCCAGGTGGTGCCCAGTAGCACAGTGAGGCCCAGCACCATGATAGTGTCTCGGTAGGCCCCGGGACTCAGAGCCTTCTCCCGTGCCCGGAGCTTGCACAAGATCCACAGAGCCCAGGCCAGCACCACCAGGTTGAACAGAGATGTGAGGCCACCGTAGCCCATGACCAGGACACGGTGCACTATGGGACTGCATACCCAGCACCTGCAGGAAAGGGGAGAAGGCCAGGATTAGCACAGACCTGCAGGAGGCCAAGTGCACCTGAGCCTTGGGACCAGCTCTTGTCCCTCACTGGTCTTGCTGTTCCAGTGGTTGTAACAGCCTGGTAGTTCATATACCAAAGCCCCACAGCATCGGTCACCACAGCAGGATCACCCGGCACCTCCACCCACTCCCTGAGGTACCTCCTTTCAGCCATAGTTCCTCAAGCCTCGACTCTGACCCAACAGAACCTCCTCCCCTCCTTCTGCTGTCTCACCTCTCCCATGCCAGCCTGAGAAACATCCCAGTGGCCTGGGCTCTCGTTCTGGGAAGCTTCCTCTTCCACCCTACCCCACCATTATCACCATCTTGTCACCACCTTTATACAATGGCACATGCCTCCTCTCAAGACAGGTGCTGTTCTTTGCTCAGGTCAGATACCAGGCCCCATGGCCAGCATGGGTTATCCCAGGCAATCTTCCTGGCAGTCCAGGGCCAGGCATCTAAACTTCTCCATCCTACAGTTAAGAAAACTGGGGTTTCTGCTCGGGAGCACACATTAGTTAGGAGCAATGGTGGGCCTGGAAGCCCTTTGCTCTGGGCCCTGAGCCCCCGTTCCTGTCACAATCATGTATCTAGAGCCCCCCTTCCCCTGGGGCTCTGACATTGGAGTCCCGGTGTCCATGAGCATCATTTGCAAGAGGCATCCACATTGGTGCATTGAGCGTCCTTTGCTTTTGCTGCTACAGAACATTCTAGCACAAAGACACTACCGTTGCTCGCTACTCCAGCAGCCCCGCTGCATGGCCGGACTGTGTTTGAGGGGTGCTTTTTAAAACGTCATTTCAGTTTTTAAAACATCATTTCAGAAGCAGATAGATGAAAGGTGAGAAGACCAGAAAGTAGATGATAGGTAAATAGATAGGTCGATTAGGGAGGTAGGTAGACAGACAGATAGATGATACATAGATAGATAGACACATACATACACACTAGAGAGATGATAGACAGATGACAGGCAGATGGTAGAGAGCTATGGGTTTTTAACAGGAGATAAAGTCATCAAAGCGAGGCCGGTGAGGAGGGGTCGCCCCTGAGCCGGCTGGAGCTGGTTGGAGCCACTCTGTGTTGAAGGGCCTGGGGGACTTGGGACCCACTCTGGTGTGCGATGACCAGGCCTACATTCTGCTCAGGTCACAGCAGCACCCCTGCCCTGAAGCATGGCTTCCATCCCTTCCAGCGGCTCGCTCATGGCAACCCATGACTACTATTGGCAACGCCTGAGCTCCTCATACAGCAACAGCTCCTGCAGAAATGCCGAGTACCCGGGAGATGCTGTGCCCCAGTCCCCGGGTCTCCCCAAGGCCGATTCCGGCCACTGGTGGGCCAGCTTCTTTTTCGGGAAGCCCACCCTCCCACTCATGGCCACAGTGTTGGAGTCTCCCGAGCACTTAGCAGAGTCCTCCCAGATCCCCAAAAGCCTGATCACCCATGACCAGGCTCCTGAAACCATGAAGAAGCAGCCAGTCATCCATCCTGGCCAGACTAACACCAGGGCCCAGTCCTGATTTGGCAGAATCACCAGCCAGCCCCAGCCTAAGTGGTGCTAGGCCAGAGACCCACCTACCCACTCTACCCTGTAAACTAGGAAGGCTGCAGGAAGCAATGGACACCAGCAGGAGCTGGAGAGAGCCCCTCTTGGTTCACAGCACTGACTCCATAACTGTTCCTTGCACCAAGCAGAAAATAAACTGCTAGCAGCCATCAAAAACAAACAAACAAAAAAAAGAACAGGAAAGGGTGAGAGAAATGCAGGGAAGTTGGTTCGGAGGTTTCCATTTGTACACTGCTGTGTTTTTATCCTGGGGACCTGTCAGTTAAGCTCTTTTGCGTGTAATGAAATTAAATACATCTCTAAAGGAGCTCGCCTTCAGCAATATCTATGCCACTCCTCACTCTTCCCCAAACTCCCGGTGGCAGCCAGAAGCTACAGATGGGCAATGTCTGGGAGACCACGCTGGAGCTGTTGGTGGGCTGAGTCCTAACTCTTGGTTGTTGACATCCTGGGATCCCTTGTGGATGGGTTCTTGAGCTGCCTGTGCCTCGGTGGCCCTATTGTGGCATGGGGCTGGCAGTGGGGCTGAGCCCTCACTGTGAGCAGTGTACATGAATTTATCCACCAAGCATACTGCCTGAGCCGTCAGCCATCCTGAGCTGCCAGGCAGAGCCATGGGGGCTAGGCCGCCTGTCAGCTCTCCAGATGGCTTCATGAGGGTCTTATTATTATTTCATTTGTTGTTGTATGTATATGATGTGTTCAGGCATCATAGCATGCCATAGCATGCACAGATGTGGTGGTCAGAGGACGGCTCTCAGGAGTTGGCTTCTCTCCTTCCACCACGGGTTCCAGGGATAGAACTGGGGTTCTAAGGTTTGTGCCTTTACCCACGATCCATCTCACTCACCCTCCCCAAGCATCTCTTACTCAACTGTATTGTATCCAGATGTTGGAAGTGGTTTGTAATGATAAGCTCGATGTCCTTTCATGTAGAAATCCAGTCAGGGTTTGTCCCTCCTCTGATGCTTCCTCCAGGCCCTACAGAGGCTGAGCTCACCCTGACCCCCACCCTCAACCAGCATTTTCCTCCCCCAGGTCCCAAAACAGCAGCATAGGCATTGGATGGCAATGTCTGTGCTCTGTGCAAGAAAGGAAGAGCTAAACTGAACCCCTCCATTTACACCATTGCTCCTCTTTGCCCCTCAGCCATCACTTCACCACAGGGATCCCCAGCCTGGGTGGCCCTTCTGTCTCACCGGGCACTCACATGGACACATTCTGGAAGCCTGTACCGTTTTCCTGGCTTTTGGAGAAAGAGATCACGCAGGGTCCATACACTGAGCTCTTGACCGCCAGAAGAAGAAGCACCAAGAGGGCTGGCGAGCCTGAGGGGGTGAGACACAGACTCAGGAGGCCCCAAGGTGAGCTGGCTCTGGTCCTTGAGCCCGCTGACAGAGGAGGGGCACACACACGCTGTGCTAAGCTGTAGCCTCACACAAGGTCCAGCTTTAGAGTATGGAACTTGGTCTTGGAAGAGGCTCATCTCCAATATGTTGTTAGTGAGATTCCAGGGCCGAGTGGCAGCAGTGGTGGTGGCCACCTGCGAGGTGGCAGGGAGCTAACAGGAGGTGGCGTTGGTTGGGGAGCTTGAGGGGAAACAGAGACAATAGAAAGATGGCCTACAGTGGTGGTGGGAGTGTCTGCGATGGTGCTGATGTGGCAAAGATGAGTACAGGGATGGTGGTGGGATGTGGTGAAGGTAAGGAAGGCGATGAGAATGACAAGCGGGGGGGGTGGAAATGAGAGTAAAGGCAGGCATGGGTGGCAGAGGCAGGGCCGCGGTGGTAGTGACAGCGGGAACAGCCACCGATAGTCATAATGATAGTGCTGAAAGCAGAAGTAGATATGGAGGTGAGGGCAAGCTTGATGGTGGCGTTGGGAGTGGAGGTGATGGTGGAGCTGATATCACTGATGGGGGTGGAGTTGGACATGATAGCGAGGACTTAGTAACACGGCCAGTAGTGGTGGATGTTGATGGCCATGGCGGCTCATGGCCATGCGGCGGCCACTGTGAAGGCAGGGGGACTTGGGGTCAGCACCTTGGACACTTCCAGGGGCAAGTGAGACGGCTGTCCCTTACCCCAGCCCAGCACGCAGAGCTTGAGCAAGTATCGACGGATGTAGACGTTGTAGACACGCCCCAGCAGAAGGTAGAGGTTGAAGCCTTCGATGGCCATCCAGGTAAGGCAGCTGAGCAGCGCGTAGTGTAAGAGGGCGGCCAGCACCACGCAGACTGAGGTGGGCACCATGGGCGGGGCCATCTGGGAGCTCAGAAGGAAGGCGACGTTCAGCAGCAGGACAGAGCCGTTCAGGTTCATGTGGATGTGTGGGACAGAGTCACTTTGCTTCCTGTGTGGCTCACAGATGCACAGTGATGGGGAAACTGAAGCAAACGGGGAGGGACCCAACGGCTGCCACACCGTCAGGCTGGCTCATGCCCTGTGGCCCTTCCCTCTGAGCAATCCCACCTGCCCGGGGAAGCTAGGGTAAGAAGAAAGGCACAGAGTAGCAGTAGGGCAGGCGGGCTGGGCAGGGCCAGGGTTACCTAGAATGGGCATAAAGCAGTATGATGAGCAGCGAGGCCACGATGGAGATGATGCAACCCACAAAGGAGATGTACTCAAGAGGCACCTGCAGTTCAGCAGGCACCGGGTCTCCAGAGAGCTGCTGTAGGGCCAAAGAGGGGGAGGATCTGAAGATAGAATGCCCAGCTCTCTCTGCACTACATCGGAGAGGCCTCCCAGACCTCAGCTCCAAATCTCTTCCCTTCAGCCCAGTCCTGCCTTGAATGAAGCCATAACACTATGGTTTTTGCAACTCTTATCCCTGTTCCTCCTTGAAAATACTCTCATCACATTTCGTGCACACAGGTTGGGGAACCACTTCTCCCGCTGTACAGACAGGTATCCCAATCCTGGTCTATCTGATTGCCTCAAGAGCCTCCACCCTGATTTGATACAGGACTGGGGCTGGATAAGGGAACCTCTTGAATTCCATTTGTCTGAAAGCCAGCAAGGCATTAGTATCCCATGGGGCATTCTAGCTGAGGGCCAAACCAGGACAGAGCAAGCATACTGAGGGCTGGAGATGGAATCCTATCTTAGTGTGATTTAGCCCCTGGATCAAGCCATACCTGCATCCTAACAGACTTTTAAAGAACGCAAGTCCCTACTTGTGTGACTTAAGCCTGAGAGGTTGGGTTCACTGTCCTTATGCTGTCCTCAGCCCTGCTCCTACACCACATATCAGGGGCTCCTGCAGCTCTTGTCTCCCTCACTCAAGGCGAATGTCCACGTACCATGAGCACAGCGAAGTAGGTGAGATGGTTGCAGTGGCAGAGCACCTGAGAGGGTGAGGGCTGCTCTGTGTAACAGCCCTCAGGGCTCCAGGAACCCCAGCTGCGCTTGCTGGCTCCCTCCTTCCAGAAGACACAGGTTACTGTGTACCCTTCCTGAAATGAGACGTGGGGTTCAGTCCAGAGGTGCAGGACAAGATCTCGTGTTCGGGGCTGGGGGCCCTGGGTCCCAAGAGAGATTCAACTGTACCACTGTCAGCCTTTTGTGGGAGCTGGCTGGGTTTTGACAATCCCAGACACCAGCCCCACCTTCACCACAAGTTCTCAGTGTCCTGGACAAGAGGGCAATCTTTCTGAGCCTGGGTTTATTCATCTGTGAAATGGACCATACATATCCACGTGACAGGTTGGCAGAAGCACGAAAGACCATTTTTCAGTATTCGGGGTGGGGTGCAGTGCTGGTCCTTTGTGCCAAGGGTCTTCTATAACCCGCTGCTTGCCGCCCCCTCCCAGGCTCAGACCCACCATGAGAAACTCATTAGCAGCCAAGTCCTGGGGTGGCTGCATGGAAGGCAGCAAAGGAGGGACAGAAGTACATGGATTAGGGGTACATGGATTGAATGGAAGGGAAACAGGACACTCATTCCAAAAGGAAGGGCAGTGACAGAGCTCAGAAGGTGCAAGGAGAGGTCACTGTGAAGTTGGGCATGCAAGCCTTCCTGCCTGGTCTGGAGGTGTATGGAGCCAGAAAACAGCACTGTGGACTTCCTCACAGGATGCAGACAGGCTGGGGACCCAGAAGCAGCAGTTCAGGACTTGTGTATTCTGGGTACCCTTCTGTGTTCCAGAATCAGCACCAAGATCACCCTCACCCCACGTGACCCAGCCTAGCAAATCCACACATCTCGTCGTTCTGGACACAGCCTGGTTCAGCCATAGACATGAGTCAGCTCTGGTTTGCACAGGGGGCGGGGAGCCTTCTGAGAACAGAAGGAAACATGGTGTCTTCAGTGTCCACCTTACCATAGAAATGAAACCAAGGCAGGAAAAGACTAAGACTAGAGAAGACTGAACTCTAACAGCATTAGATCCATGCCTGGATCCAGCCAGACCTGAAGGTAGAACTTGCCTGAACATCCGCTGATAGGAACACCTACATCCCCTTTCGTGCTTAAGCTGGCACTCTAGCCCTAGCAACCTAAAAAAATAAAATTGTGAAAAACTTCTTTCTGACTTCTTTGCAGGAACTTTCAAAGAAGAGATTTAAAGTTGTTTCCAGGACGGTGCCACGACTTTCGGTTTGGCTAAACAAGGGCTGAAAGGGAAAGTGTCTGAGGCCAAGGTGGAGGCAAGCCCAACGTTACCAGACTTTGGTTGTGCCAGAAGCTGATGTTGACTGGCTTTGGAAGGTTGTTCAGGGGACTGTGATCCAGCTGGGCCCCCAGAATGTAATTATTGAGCAGGGTTGAGTTATGACCATCCTAGAAGTTGAAAAGGGGCTATGTAGAGGGGAGCCAGAGAAACCCTGGGTGAGATGAGAATTCTCCTCCCAGCCAGTCCTCCCCATTGCTTTCTGTCTGTCTGTCTCCCATCTCAGAACAGATGTTGACAGCCGAAGGTCTTGGGTCTCATTTGTAGGTTGCAGCCCTAATGCATATTGCCAGTTTGACAAGATCTCAAATCGCCCTGAGTCAAGGTTCTGGGGCCTGTGAGGGGTTATCGAGACAGGATTAGACCTGTGCACCCCTGCACGACTCCCACCATGATGCACTGCACCCTGAAACTGTGAGCAAGAACCAACCCTTTCTTCTTTAAGTTGCTTTTGTCTCTCCCTAAAGCAGGTAAGGAAAGTGGGAGGAAAGGAAAGGGAGGCAGTGAGCAGCTACAGTTGCACGGTGAGCTGGTCCGCATCTCCAGGCCAACCCGTGACACAGAAGCTTCCCTGGCCACCCTCTGCTGACCTGGAAGAGGTGACTGGTGAAGAAGTAGATGCAGATGAGCCTAAGCTCGGCAGGCCGGGAGGTCGCACAGGCACCCTTGGTCAGCTCAGCTGGGAACTGCATGGCATGCGGTGCCCAGGCCTGCGGATAGCAGCAGACAGGATGAAGACCACGGATCCAGTCCCAATACCTTCATGTTCCCTCCCCATTGAACCTCACCAGGCCCTGCCTGAGCCTCGATCTTCTGACACAGGTGGCCCTGGCTGTTACCAGTCCCAGGGACCTGCCACCCACCCACCTCCAGGCAAAACCGGGATGAAGACCCTGACCACGAGGAGTCATAGAGCACCCCCTCTTTCTGTTCTTCCCCACAGCAAAGCAGAGGAGACTGCTCCCAGAGCAGGACTTCCCTGGCTGTCTCTGACCTTGGAGATGTTCCTCATGGTGACACTGGACAGGGAGAGACCGGGAAAGTCACAGCTCAGCTTGAAGACCAGAGACTGGATGGAGTTTGTCTGCAGGGTCAGGTTGTACCCGAAGAAGCTGGCATTGAGCAGCTTCTGCTCCAGTTGGTGGATATGCCTAGGAACCGGTAGCGGTGCGGTAAGAAGAGCTGAGACAGCCTAGGGGTGGGGCTTCTGACCCCCACCCCACTCAGCCCTCCCACCATCAGATCTTCTGTTCCGCCCAAGCCTTAGCACCCCTGCAGGGACCCTTTCGGTTTAGAACACTACCTTGAAGGGCCCCAGTAGGCAATAAACTGTGAGAGGCTGTGTCAAGCCTCTCCTGCAACTCCAGATCCTGGTAGCAGGCACGCTGTGAGTACTCAGTCACTTCCTGCTGTATATGGATGGTGGCTGAGGGTACGCACACCTGACTCACCTCACTCCGTAAGACCCGGACCGGCCTACGGGCTTCTCAAGGCGCTTCATCATGTTCAGTATGTCCGGCAGTGTTTCTGTGGACAGTGGGACTCAGACCTTGACCCAGCTTCTCAGCCTCCTCCCCCATGGAGCCATCACCTACCTACTAGGACACCTGGAACAGCCAGAAGGCACAGGCAGAAGAAAAGGGACCTGTTGGCATCCATGTCCTCAGCTGTTGTTCTCCTGGCCTTGGAGAGGGGATACCACGGTCACTGCTGTGAGGGTGCTGCCTCTGCCTTCTAGACAATTGTGTATTCCCCCAGCTTTTTCTTCTTCTTTTTTGTTTTGTTTTGTTTTGTTTGTTTGTTGTTGAGATATCGTCTTCTGTAGCACAGGCTGGCCTCAAACTTGCTATGTAGCTGAGGGCGCCCTTGAACTTCTGATCTGCTTCCTCCCAGGAACCCATGCATGCTAGGTAAATACTCTACCAACTGAGCTACATCCCTGACCCGGGATCATCAGCATCTAACCCAGGATCGTTAGTGTCTTCTCTGCTTCTCCAACTCCTCCGATTACCATGCCTGGCCTTACAACTTTTTTTTTTTTTGTGCTATAGCAACATTATTCCTTTAGACAAAGACAAGATAGCCAATCTATTTGATACAAAAATCTTCATAGAAGGATAAAACAATACAGAAGAAACTCCATGTACACTCCATGTACACTGTGTCTGAATGAACCTGAAGAATTTTGTTTAGTCCTTTTGCCAAGAAAGCAGGATGAAGATATCCATGACTGTTGGCCATGTGTGCTTTTTTCCCCCTTCTTTTGACATATCACAGCATCAGACCTTAATGTTTTCCAAATTGTATTTCTGTGTTGGACTTTATTCAGTAAAATGCAACCATGAGCTGTGAGGGATAAAAATTTGGAAGGGAAAAGCGGTTTGTCAGAAATGGGCAAAACGGTTCCTCACGCCATTGCATGCAGTGTACAGTCTGTTTATGTAATCATGGCTTTAAATGTGCCTACCCTGATCGGTGGGGCTTTCTTTTCATTAAACGGCTTTCAGGAACGAATTAAAGCTACTAAGGAAAGAATTTGTAAAAATAGGGCCAGTGAGATGGCTCAGAGGGTAAGAGGTCTTTCTGCATGATAAACATCATGACCAAAGCATTTGGTGGTGGTGGGGGGGTTGTTTCTGTTTACTGCTTACATTCCATCATGAAGGGAAGTCAGGGCAGGAAAGGAAGCAGAAGCCAGGAAGGAACATGCTTGCTGGCTTGCTCCTTGTGGCTTGATCAGCCTGCTTTCTTATAGATTCCCAGGACCACCGGTCCGGCAGTGGTACCACTACATCACCGTTAACCAAGACAACATCCCACAGGACAACCTGATGGAGGCAATCCCTCAACAAACATTTCCTTTTCCTAAGATGACCTTAGCTTATATCAAGTTGACAAAAACAAACTAACTAACTCATCAGCAGTCTGTGCAGGCTGGACTTCTCGAGTTCCTTCTTCAGAACTCACAGTGGAAGGAGAGAGCCCACTCCCAAAGGCTGGCCCCTGACCTCCGCATACACACTGCGCAGGAACATGACCACAAAGTAAAACAAAAAAATAAGCCACATATGTGTCTGCACTCACACAGGTGCGTGCATACTCATGCCCAGCACAATAATCAGGTAACGTGCTGGCTAGCTTTATGATACAAGCTAGAGTTCTTTGGGAAGAGGGAACCTCAACTGAGAAAAATCACTCTACCAGACTGGGCATTTGATGATTGATGGGAGAGTCTCCAGATCATTGTGGGAGATGCCACCCCTGAGTTGGTAGTCCTAGGTGCTTTAAGAAAATAGGCTGAGAACTGGAGATATGGCTCAGCAGTTAAGAGTAATGAGTGTTCCTCCAGAAAACCTCAGTTCAATTCCCAGCACCCACATGATGGCTAACAATTATTTGTAATTCAAATTCCATGGTTTCTGGTCTCCGTAGGCATCAGGCACATACATGGTGGATAGACATACGTGCAAGCAAAACTTCAATATGCATAACTTTTAAATTTTTTTTAAAGTTTAGTTTAGAAACAAAGAAAACAAGCAACCGTGAAGAACAAGCCACTGAGCAACAGTCCTCCATGGCCTTTGCTTTTGTTCCCTACTTCCATGTCCCTGCCTTGAGTCCTTGCCCTGACTTCCTTTCATGATAGATCGTAAGATATAAGCTGATATAAACCCTTCCCCCCTCGGGTTGGTTTTGGTCATGATGTTCTATCACAGCAAAAAATAAGACAATAAATAAAATAAAGTCTAAAGAGTATAAAAATACAAAGGGCTAAGGAGGTAGCTCAGTGGCAGAGCATTCACCTAGCATATGTGAGGCCTTAGGTTCAAACCTCAGAAAAAGAGAGAGGAGAAAGGAAGGGAGGAGGGAAGGAAGGAAGGAAGGAGGGAGGGAGGGAGAGAGGGAGGGAGGGAGTGAGAGAGGGAGGGAAGGAGGAAGGAAGGGAGGAAGGAAGGAAGGAAGGAAGGAAGGAAGGAAGGAAGGAAGGAAGGAAAGAAAGCCCAGTTGCGGTAGTGGATGCCTTTAATCCGAGCACTTGGGAGGCAGAAGCAGGTGGATCTCTCTGAGATGGAGGCCAGCCTTGTCTACAGAGCAAGTTCCAGGACAGCCAGGGCAATGCAGAGAAACCCTGTCTCAAAAAGAAAGAGAGAGAGAGAGAGAGAGAGAGAAAGAAAGAAAGAGAGCTAGCGTGGAGCTGGAGAGATGGCTGCACAGTTCACAGTGCTTGCCCGGCACTCACGAGGTCTGGAATCCAGATCCCAACACCCATAACAAGCCAATGTTCCCTACAAGCACCTGTAGTCCCAGTGAAATGGATAGAGTCGGGAGAATTTTGGGGGTCTAAGGCTTCCAGCCTAGTAAAGGCATAAACCCCAGGTTCAAGAGACCCTGCTTAAGAGGAACAGGTAAAAGGCATGGAGGATAAGTGTGTGGGGCACACTCCTGTAACCTCAGCACTGAGGGAGGCAGAGGCAGAGGCAGAGGCAAGCAGATCCCTGTGAGGTCTGGGCAATCCTGGTCTACCTAGGGTGTCCCAAAACAACCAGGGATACGTAGTGAGACCTTGTATTTTTTTAATTAATTTACAGAAGGAAAGCTGAAGGTCTGGAGAGATGGCTTAGCAGTGAAAAGCACTTGTTCCTGGCAAAGGACTTGAGTTCAGGTCCCAGCACCTACACGGCAGCTCACAACCATCCGTCATTCTAGTTTCAGGGGACCTAATGCCCTCTCTTTTTATAGCCTCTGCAGGCAATGAGCACACATATGGTGTACATATACACATGCAGGCGAAACACTCATAAAATAAAAAAATTACAAACAAATGTTTTTTTTTTTAAAGAAAAACTTTAAAAAAATGTCTATCAATAGAAGGATAACTGGATAAGACAGGGTTCAATGACTCCTGGAGAACAGCTTGGCAATTGTGTGCGTGGGTGTGTGTGTATGTGAGAGGGAGAGAGAGCCAGAGAGAGGGAGGGATCATGTGAGCACGGGTGCAGCCCCGCGGTAGTGTTCGCCTCATCCTTTCCATGGCAGCGGCACAAACAGAAACTGAAAGTAAAACTAAACATGCCCCCTAAGGAAGCGTCTACCATATGCACCTGAAATAGCTCTTAATTGTTTATCTGAAAAAAGAATCTGTACAGAAATAATGACATTAGCTTTATTAATAACATCCCAACGTTGGGGGACTGGCAAGATGGTTTCAGTGGGTAAGGGCACTTGCCACAAAAGCCTGGTGCCCTGAGTTCCATGCCTACAGCCCATTGCAAAGATTGGAGAGAAGCGAATCCAGGAAGTTGACCTTTGACATCAGCATTATTTCAATGGCACATGAGCATCACACTCATACACACATCATACATGTCAATTAGTAACAGTAACAACAATAATGATGATGAGGGCCAAAATAAGGATCAGCCCCAATGTTCTGGCTGATAAATGGTTAAATAAGCCACAGGACAGCCATGCCATGAGATGTAACTCAGCAATTTAGAGAAATATATATATTTTTTAAATCTATATGCTTTCCAGGTGTGGTGGCACATGATATTAATCTCAGCACTTAGGAGGCAGAGCTAGGTGGATCTCTGCGAGGTCCAGGCCAGTCAGGGCTACATAGTGAGCCCTGTCTCAAGAGGAAGAAGGAGGAGGAGAAGAAGGAGAAGGAAAAAGAGGAGGAAAAGGCAACAACAACAAACTATATACTTAGATTGGCCTCAAGGGATGTCTACTGAGCAAACAAAAAATAAATAAATAAATCTACATATGTTACAACAGTGTGATGTGACTAGCAGAATATGCCTGAAATGAAAATTACAGAGACACGGATGGGAACAGCGGTTGCCACAGGCAAGCGAGGGCTCCTGTGTGTCTAGGAAGGGGGAGCGTGAGGACCCGTGTGGTGACAGAGCAATTTGTGTTATGACTGTGTTCGCTGTTCCAGGAGTTTACATGTCATAAACTGCACAGAATTCAGTCCTTACCCACTCTGTGCTGATGTGTAAGTGAACACACATTGAGCCGATGATATCTGTGAATTGCACCAAAGTGAAATTCTTACACCTGAGATTACGCTATAGGTGTAGAAACCATCGCTACAGGTGTGTAAGGCGTCACTATAGAGAAAGCTGGGTGAACAACGCACAGAACTTTCCTGCATGAGTTTTTAAGCAACTGTGAGCCTGAAACTTTTTCCAAAATGAACAGTTTAAAACAAGGAAAATCAGGGATGTAGCTCAGTGGCAATTGCTTAGCAAGTACAGGCTTAGGTTTGACTGCCAGCGTTAAGAGAATACAGAGAATTATACTTCTTAAAGTTAAAAATGAGCACAACATAGCATCTTGAGTGAAAGAAATTCTGAAAGTTACGCGCACAGATGCTGCTGAGGCGGGCTCAGCGGCAGAGAACTTGCCTAGCACATACAAAGCCCTGAGTTTGATCTCCAGCACCAGAGGAGAAAAAAAAAAAATGTTTTGATGTCTTTTTTTTAAAAAAAGTGAGGGCTGGAGAGGCAGCTCGGGCAATTAAGAGCACTGGTTGTTGTTCCGGAGGACCTGGGTTTGATTTCCAACACACACATGGCAGCTCATAACCAACTATAATCCCATCCTGGCAAAAACAGGTCGCATTTCTTATATGTGCAAAAGCAGGAAGCTGTGCATCTGTGTGGGAGCGGCGTCAGTTCTCTGTTGGCCTCGTCTATGTTTCTAAGGTTTGCCCATGGAAACATCTCTGTTTCTATTTACTTTTTGGCCAGTTTGGACATCTACATCTTTCAAAACTTAGCACTAAGTAAAGGGATAAATACAAAAGGCTGTGAAAAGCAGAGCAGCCTTCCATCTGCAAGGATGGCTGCTCAGTCCTGGGTCAGTGAGGTTACACTGCAGGATACTCCCTTCCTTGGAGTCTGCTCAAGCTCACTTCTAATGTTTCTTTACGCAAATACAGACAAGCGAGACTTCTGCCATTTAATATGCAGAGCAGAGCCTGGACCATTCTGTTCTTCCTTGAATGCACATCTGGGAGAGTCTGCTCTAACTGTATCCTAGGATGCCACCTCTTCAACTGCTTGTGCGAATGTCATCTTAGGGATGAGTCAGGATTTGTTTCACAGTCCTCTGGTAATAGCATGAACAGTCCAGGGATTCTAATGTCCTCCGGCCGGTTCCAGTCCTTTGCTCTTACATCCAGCCAGGCTAGGATGTCGCACAGGGGTAGAACACTCGCCAAGCATGACCAGGTCCTGGGTTCTGTCCCCAGGGGTGCGCTGTATGTGCGGCACTTCCAGCCTTTGCAGGTTCACCATTTGTACAATGTACCTGTCACTTCCTCCTATCACTTTCTAGGAAGTTTCCCTGATAGAAAAATCAGCCCCTGTCTATCCCATGAGCACAAATAGTTTCTAGTTTGACATTTCTTTTTAACACCCCATGATTTTTTATTTGTGATGTAGAGGCATCATTTTTAATCCTCTGATTTGGTTTGGCTTGGGTTTCGAGGCCAGGTCACACTGTGTAACCTGGGCTAGCCTCAAACTCACTATGTAACTGAGGCGTCTCAGACTTAGTATCTTTCTGCCTTTACTTGCCAAGTTCTGAGATTACAGGCATGCTACACCTCATCTTATGGGATGCTGGGGACCAAACCTAGGGCTTTGTGTGTGCTAAGCAAAGCAAGCACTCTACAAACTGAACCATATCTCCACCAGTTTTTCTTTTCTTTTCTTTCTTTCTTTTTTCTTTTTGGTTTTCCGAGACAGGTTTTCTTTGTGTAACCTTGGCTGTCCTGGACTCGCTTTGTAGACCAAGCTGGCCTCAAACTCACAGAGATGCGCCTGCCTCTGCCTCCCTGAATGCCGAGATTTTATGCATGCACCACCACGCCAGGTTTCCACCATTGTTCTTAACACCATGTATTAACAAATAAACCAGTCTTAAGACTAGAGCTGGGATGCTAGACTGCATGATTCACTTACCTTCCTGGGAAATCAGAAAAGGATGCTAGGCAAGGTTTGGGAAGGCTTGGGAAGATTTAGAAGACACAACATGAACTGATTCCAGTGAGGTGACAGGGGTATGGTAGTGAGGACTCCGTAGTGCAGAAAACCTCAGCTGATGGAGCTATTAGTGGGAAAAACTGAAAACCAGTGGGCAGAAGAATTTGACCTTCATGGTCTGGGCCCGAAGGCCTGACTTCTGTCAGTAGCATGGCTAAAGCTGCTCCCAAGCAGACAGAGAGAAGAACAGCCTGACCCTACATATAGCGATAAAAATCAAGGCGGGAGCAGGTTTCCCACCCCCCCTCCACCCCAACACCTCAGACCGAAGCTGTGGTTTCCATTTCACTCCCAAGGCTAATCAACTCCCTTTACTTTTGCTTGCAACCTCCAGTTACCCTCCCTGTCACTGCTGAGCAGGACCCGCCCGCCATCACCCTGTACCCTCAGCCATCGTGTTTTGTCTCTACAGTTCATCACCAGAGGGCCCCTGGGAAACAGGAATCCCTTTCCTGACTTTCCAGATGGTTCCAGGAGACAAGACAACATAATACATGAAAGCAAAGGGTTTGCTTGGGTTCAGCAGCATTCCTGAAGCCAAGCTAGGATCCAAACCTGGGCTCCAGATTCAAAGCCAGCGCTGGTAGCAGCTTCTCAAAGGTGGTTGGAAAGCCAAGTGGTGATAGCCAAGTAAGACTCTATTTTAGGTTAACAGGGACGTTAAGAGATATGTGGCCAAAGGAAAGGGCAGTAGGAAGTGTGGATTTAATAGCCAACTCCATTTATTCAGTGCCTAGGCTGTGTGGCACTGGGTTAAAAAATGGGCCTCACTGACCCTCTAATTTCCTCATGTGTAAAATTGGGCCAAAGAGAACTATTCCCCAGGGAGAAGAACTCAACCATTCCCAGGATCCTTACTTGTGGGAATCAGCTCCCGGGTCTAGTCCTCTAACCAAAGGCCTTAGGCAGGAATACATCATCAGTGCATGAGGCTTGGGAGTCCCTGCTTTCTCCCCAGCACAGATGTACCCCAGCAGCAGCAGGCCCTGTGCAGCACAGTGCTCATATCTATTCATGGCTTCCACAAACAGCTACCCGTGCTGGGTACAGGCTGGGGCCTGCCTCTGGCTTCCTCTAGTCGCTCGTGGCCTGGGTGAAGAATGGACCAGTGAATTAGCAAGCCACAGCCCAGGGAGGTGCTACTACCAGTCTTTTTTACAGGCAGGCAAAGAAGGCCACAGAAAAGCTATCAAGGTGTCTGACCCAGCTTGTCTGAAGGCCCTTTCCCTGAGACCCTGTGTCTCCAAGCTGCTCAGCTCCCATTTGCTGGGCACAGGCTTGGCACTAGACCTCGTGCCAGAGCATCTTAGTCTATCCTCTGTCAGACTTGGGGTACAGGACTCCTCTCATTTTACATATGAGAAACAGGAAAGCTAAGTCCCCCCCCCAAAAAAATACATAATCATGCCTTAACTTCAGCAACCACTTCTGAAAGCAGGGCTTTCTTTTGGAGTTGGAAGGAGCAGGTCCCTAGCTTGCTATTCCTGGGATGTCATGAGGCCTGTATACCTGCAGATGGGGACCGATGGAGGATGGAGGGGTCCGAAGGACTAACCTGCAACGCTGCTGCAGCCACGTTCTCACTGCTGCCTCAGTTCAGTCCTCCAGCTTCTGCAGGGAGAAAAGGAAGTTGGGAGGAGTCTAAAGCTGCGGCTTCTCTGTTCACCTCAGGCCATTTGCCCCCTGGCTTTTCTGGCCTCACGTCGCCCTATGCTCCTGCCTCACTTCTTCTTTCGTGGTAGCAGCCTGTTTCCTCTGAGCTGTTGGCCAGATCAAGATCAATGTCTCTTTAATCTCACTCCGGAGTCTCTGCTGCACTTCCTGAGAGTGGGCTGAACCTCCAAAGAGGTGCCAGGAAGGGCAGCATGGTACCATGGTGGGTGTTCAAGGTGGGGCAGCTCTGGGAAAGCGAGAGATGGATCTTCCCCAAGTCTCAGGCTCCCCATTTATATAAAGGGGAAATTTATATTTTAATATATATGTATATTTCCCCATTTATATTAGCACTAAGACTGGCAAGTGCCATAGATGCTGAGCAGATAGTGTAGAGTGGACAATGCCCAGCTCCAGGTGGCCCAGGACAGAGCTCAGAAAGTATGGCCAGAACATCAGGGGAGACAAAGCAGACCAGCCTCTCCTTTAGCCAGCAGCCCCACAGGCTATAATACCAGGCATGCTCTCTACAGAGCCCTAAAGAGAATGAGGAAGTGATTCAGGGAGTGGGAGCACAGCTGCTGTCCCTTGCCTATCCCATCTTGTCCCCCTGTTCTCTGGGGGAAACCATAACCCAACAACATGCCCTTCTACTCCTGGCGTGGGGTGGGGGTTTAGAAATGCAGCCAAAGAGGAGAAAAAACAAAACAGGCGGGTCCCAGCACAGTGTTCCTCCCCTCTCCCCAAGCCAGCCTCTTCAGAGCCAGCTCAGCACAGCTCGCAGTGGGTGCAAGGGGCTCAGAGAGAAAGGGGACCCCCACCTCAGATGCCATCAAATTTTTTACAGGGACTCCTTGTAAAACAGGGACTCAGCTCCTTGGCCATATTCCCGCTAGGTGACTGAGATAAGCCTTTGCCCTTTTTGTATGCTTTGTTTCCCTCGCCATTGTCTGTTGTGGTGCTTGGCCTCAACCCCAGGCATGGCAGGCGTCTGTCTGCACAATGGACCACGCCCCACACCCCAGGCTTTACTTGACTTTCACCATTATAACCAGACATTCACCTCCTGGCCTTTCACATTAGGGCTCTCCTGGCTGCCTCCAGGACTGAACTGCCAACTCATCCGTAATGAGCAGATGAAGGCCCAGGTAGAGCTCTGATCCCAGGCCTCCACAGCCTCTCTGTTTCCTACCTCACTGTTTTTGCCTCAGCTTGGGATGCTAGTTTTCTCTGTATACAACACCTTAGAACTCACTTTCAGACATTCTGATGCTCAGAAGCCCGACATGGCTCCCTATTATCTTCATGGTCTACCCTCCAATCAATTTCTACTCCTGCCCAGCTCTGTACATGCCAGCCACATTTGGGCCATGTGCCAGTTGGGATACACATGGACTTAGGCAGTCCCCCAACTTCACTCCATCCTCAGGGCTCAGCCCCAATCCTGCTCTTCAAAAAACAAGATGGAGTCCGCAGCATGAAGAGACAAATCAGTACCCTCCACAGTCCCTCGGATGTGATGATGTCCTTGTCATCCAGTAACAAGGGTCTCCCAACATGGGGGATCTGTGAAGGACTATGAACCTGACCAGACATTAGAACAGGTGTGTGACACCACCAAAGAGTCATTTATCCTCCAAATCTTCTCCAGTCTTGATGGCAATTGGAAGCCTCCAACGAGAGACAAAAATGTCTTTCACCTCTTTTTGATGAGCATAGAGGTTCTGACCTGTTGTGTTGCTGATCTGGGCCAGTCTTTCTTCCTGAAGCAACCTGTTGGTCGCCATGTTGATGCAGTACTTAGTGGGGACCTCCAATCAGCACAGCACACCTCAGTGCAGAAGTTCTGGGCTCCAGCATCCTTTAGAGTAGCTGGGACTACCTTTGAGCCTGGCAGGCTTTTGCCTCTTTCCAACCCAGACTTATTATGTCCCTTTTCTTCCTGCCTCCCCTCCATTCTTCACTCTTTTTTTAAACACAAAAAACATGATGCCTGAGCCAAGCATGGTGAAACCCAGAATTCATGACTCTGCAAAAGGCCCTTCAATCCAAGGCCAGCCTTGTCTACATAGTGAGATCGTGTTCCAAAACAAAAACAAAAAAACAACAACAAAAAACTTTAAAATTTTTATTGTGTTAACATATTCATATATCACAAAATTTACTATTTTATCCACTTGTAGGTATTGAGTTCTGCAAAGTGAAGTGCAGACACCGTTCTGCAACCGTCACCATCGCCTATCAGCATCTATCACCAAGCCTTTTTGATTTTCTCAAACATAACACCCACCCACCAGAAGTCCTGGCAACCGCTCCTCTAATTTGTCTCTACCAATGTAACAACTGTAGGCAACTCATAACCGGGATCATACAGCATGTGTCCTTTTCTGACCGGCTAATTCCACAATGCAAGATTCAGTCATGCTATACATAGGTCAGACTGTCCTTCCAGACCGATGTGATGTCACATGCCTATGATCCCAGCAACGGGGAAGCTGAGGCAGAAGGACGGGGAGTTCAGAGTCATGCTTACCTCCGACAAACACCAGAATCTGTTTCCTGTACTCGGGAGGAAAAGGCAGGAGGGTCGAAGGTTCCAAGCCAGCCTGCGTTACATAACCTCGTCTCAAGAGGGAGGGGAAGGAGTGTCCTTTTAAAATATATTATAGTATTCGCCATGTATGTGCATCCCATTTTTCTTTTCTCTCCATTTGCCTGTTGATGAGCCGGGGCCCCTGCTACTTTCCCACTGCTCTTAATACCCCCAGTGTGCATGGGGGTATGCAAACAATCTTTTTTGATAAAAAGAAAGTTTCTAGATAAATTTTATTTATTTTGTTTTGTTGAGATAGGGTCTTACTGTGTAACCCTTGGCTGCCTGGAACTCACCGTATAGACTAAACTTGTTTCTCAGAGACCTGCCTGACTCTGCCTCCTGAGTGTTGGGATTAAAGGCGCAGGCCATCACACCTAGCTTTCTAGCTCAAGTTTTCATAGCACTGTTTTAATTTAATGCTATTAATTTTGTGATCTTCTTCTATTAACAGCACCTTATACACAGACCTCCTATTTAATCAAGTAATATTGAAAGGGTTAGGCTAACTTTGTAACCTATATGTCTTCTAAAGCCTATAGTTTTGAGTTTTAGGTCCAGGTTAAGCTAAAGCCTCTTAGTACCTTTCCAGAGAATGGAGGAATGTGACCCTATCTGTGAGGACAGATATAAAAAAAAGCAAGCAAGCAATGATCTTCACTCAGCAAAAAGAACGACCAGACTCTTGTCTTCAAGATAGTGTTTCTTAGCAATGAACCCAGATGGCCTCAATCCTTCTTCTGAGTAGCTCCTGACCTCCAGCCAAATCTTCAAGGATGAGCTAACCACCCCACCTTCAATTGCAGCTGCATCCACACTTGGCAGGACTGGCCAAGCTTGAGCACCTAAGACCAACCAATTATCTTACTTTATAGCTTCCTCATCCAATCCTAAATTGCCAAAGCTGCAACTTCAAATTTCCAGCAATTTTTCTTTTAAAAACCTAAAGTCTTTGTCTCCCAGGGCCACTCTTTGCTGACCGGCAGGGGTGACCCCATTGCGCAATGGTTAAATTAAACCTTTTGCTTTTGCAACAAGTCGTGGTCTGTGAGAGTTTCTGGGAAGGGCACAATCTTGAACTCCTGAGCTGTGAGACCCCAGGTCTTACAATATGAAGCATTCCCTTAAAATATACTTACCTTCTACAAAGTTTTTTTTTTTTTTTAATTCCAATGTGTTGATGGTAAACGTAACAGCAGAGGTATAGAACTGACATATAGAAGGACTAACACAGGCTCAATCTCCAGTGTCATGAGTCTGAAGACAAAACTCCTTGTCCATTCACTGATGAGGGAGGCTAAAACCAGATTAGCATTTCACTAGAGGTCCGTAGAGACAGACTTGAGAGATACAGGCTCTGCAACTTCCCAGAGTGAGTTTAAGGCACCCAGTGGGTTTCCGATATTCCCTGGGCTCACCAGGACATGGTGGCGATGACACCAGTACACAGAGTAGCTGTGCAGCTTGGTAACCTGAGGGAGCTGTCTAGCCTCTGGCCAGCATGTACTGAGTTCCAAGAGTGAGTAGCTCCCCTCACCCACCCTATGTAAAACATATGTACACACCAAGGCAGTATTCACTTCCTCTCCAAAGAGAAAGGGCTCAGTTGTGATGAAGTAGAGGCGATACCAGAGGCTAGGTATACCATCAGCCCGACCTCCATCACCACGCACTAGGGAAAGAGCTCCCGGATGTTGGTTCAGAGCTTTCACTGTTGAGACATCCTGTCTTCCTGGGAGATCTCACTGGTGTGAGATCCCATCCAAGCCAAAAGCCAATCTGAACTTTCATTTCCCCAACTCTAAAAGAAAGATTTTTTTTTTTTTTTTTTTTTTTGTCCTGAGTTCACCATGTGGGCATCTCACAGGTTCCACCTGTACATGAAGCAGGGGACAGCCACTGGAGCTCTGCAGGCTAGTCATCTGTAGGTGCTAACCAGAGTACAAGCATTGGCACCCAACTGTTCTCCTGCAGGTCCGCGAGGCTGGCCAGCATCCACCGAGCCTTACCCACACAGCAAATGAGCTGACAAGTGAAACTACAAAAGTTGCAAAACCCGTGGGATTTCACGAGGTTGGTGGAGGCAAGGCAGAGAAGCAGACCGAAGACCACAGAGAAGGACTCTGTGAGGGAAGTGACTGACTTCAAAAAGAAGTACCCAGCCCACAGACGATCCACAGTGGGGGCTGAGGAGGTGACTCAGAGCTTAAGAGCACTTGGTGCTGTTTCAGAGGGCCCCGGTTTGGTTCCCAGCACCGACTCGGCGGCTCACAACCATCCAGAACTCGTTTCAAGGGATCCGAGTCCCCTCAAAGGCCACCAGATACACACACAGTGCTCTTAAGGACGGTGGGCAGGGTTCAAAGTGATCCTTGTTTTTAATGAAGCCCTGGTTTAGTTTGTTTTGTTTTTGTAAGACAGGGTTTCGCTACAACAGCCCTTGCTGTCCTGGAATTCACTATGTAGTAGACCAGGCTGGCCTCAAACTCCCAACTGTTGGGATTAAAGGTGTGCACCACCATACCTAGACAGCCCTGGTATTTTTTTAAAAACCAACCTCTTAGAGCAAATCGGCTGGAAGGATCCAAGTACTCAACCTCGTGAGAAAACACACACACAGGCACACACAAATAGGTCAACACTCAGTAATTGATTCATTCTTCACAAACTACTATGCACGTGGCCATAGATTAGAATTGAAACATTCATTCTTTATGTCTTCTGGACAACAGTCCAACCCAGCCTAGCTGCCCACACAGTTCTGTGACTTTCGGTCCTGTCTGTAAGAAAGATCAACCTTGCAGCAGGATGTGGTGGGGAGACACCATCCTGACTTTCCTCTTCCCAGACAAGACTACAGCCACCCTGACCCCTGAGAGAGGTAGCCTCAAAGCGGCTGTGCACAAGGGGTCGGAGGGCTCTGCCAAAGCATCATGGCCTGGCAGAGGAAAAAACTCCACAGTGGGGGTAGGTCCCCATCACGCTCCTTTATAGGCCTGAAGTCGCTTTGGTTGTACAAATAAGGGAAACTGAGGCCCGGTGAGGACATGGCCCGGGTCCAGTCGGTGACAGCGCTGGCACTGGGAGGAATGCCGTGAGAATTTGGTGAAGTTCCACCTGGGCGCGAAGGTGCCCATTCCTGTCGCCGGGCACCTAATCTGTGGTTGGCTGGAAAGCCGAGGTCCGAGAACCTGCGTGGGAGGTCCCAGGCTCTGGTGGGCCGGCGGGGGTCCTGCGGCCCGGCCCCAGCCCGCGGCAGGCCGCGCCCCACGCGGGGCCCCCGCCTGCTCCCCTTCCCCTCCCCCGGAGGGAGGAGGAGACTCGGCGGCCCTCCCCCGGCCTCCGGACGGCCGCCGCAGCCAGCCCCGCGCCCCTCCACCCTGCGCAGCAGCTCGGACGTCCGGAATCCCGGCCCCGGTCCGAGGTGAGCGGGGACGGCGGGGCATGAGGTCCCCGCGGCCGGGGACTCGCTGAGGCCCGGAGCCTCTCGAGCGCGGGAAGAGCTTTGCTGCGGGAGGGACGGGAGCCGGGGCGGGGCCCGCCGCACCCCAAACTCTGAGGCCAACTTTTCAGTCCCCTCTTGGGGTCCCCCGGTCCGCCTCCGCCCCGGTGGAGGCTAGGTCCCGCGGCGGGACGGTGGGGGAGGGGGCGCCCGTGGAATGCCGGCGGGCCCGGGAGGGGCGGCGGGCGGGGGCGGAATGTGGAACTCTCCCGGGGGACCCGACGTGGTCACCATGGCGAAGGCCGGACGGACGGGTTGCGCGGGCCTATCAGAGCACGGCTTCACGCCCGGACCCGCTGTGCTGCCAATGGAAGCCACGCGGTGGAGTGGGCGGGACTGCGCCTTTCAGGACCGGACCCCCGCGCCCCCGCCAGCCGCTAGGGGGAGCGGGGCTGGTGGCCGGCGAAGGGGGCTACTAAGTTGGGACTGAGGCTGCACTGGGCCCTGGAAAGCAGAAAACTAACTTATACGGGAAGGAATGGGGGCAGGTGGAGCTCGGTGCTAAGGGAAGGCAGAGGACTCAGTGGCCCGCTGCCCTGGTGGTACCGACCGGTGAAGTCTGCAAGCCTCTTCCCCAGCCCGCGGCTTCAGTTTGTGTAAGTGAACTGTCTCTTCTTCGGCCCGGAAACCTGAGCTTGTGTAGGAGTGTGGTTGGTTCTTATTGGCACAGAGTCTGCCCGTCTGCTGGAGGTATTAAGAATCTTGTTGGTGCCTCTCAATTCTTTACCTGGGGAAACTGAGGCCTAGCGAGGCCAGGGACCTGCACATATCCCCGCCTCCCAATTACCCTGTTTCCCTGTCTGTCTGTCTGTCTGTCTGCATGGCGATTTTCCTAGCCCCATTCCTTGGGACTGGAGAACTCGCCAGAGAGCTGTCGCCAATAAACCTGCTTTCATACTCTTAATTCAGCTTGAATTGGCTTATTTTATTGTCGGAGAAAACCTATAATAATAGCTAGGATTAATAGTATCAATAACAAAGCTAAGATTAATGTCTGTTCTGTATGAATGTGCAATTCCAAGAGTCGCTAAGAGTCCTGGGGCTGGAGTAGGTGCCCACGAAGGTTTCCGCCTTCCCTTAGCCAAGCCACATTTGTCAGGTGGGCCTAGTGTCTCAAGATCTCTCCAGGGCCATGGTGCTCTTCAGGTAGTCATGACCTAGCCACAGAGGCATCCGGTTCCACTCCTCAGGCTCTGTTTACTGCTAGCATGCTGTGCTGTGGTAGACAAGTGGCTGACCCAGCTGTAAGGAAAAAGGATTGGAATCTGTGACTTAGGGTATTTTTGTGGCTCCTCAGTTCAAGACTGGGATGCCTGGGCTCTGTTCCAGCATGGAGACCTAGCTTTCCTTTCTCTCCTGGAGGCCCAGCAGCCGTAAGCTGGGCTCTCTCACTATCCATGGTCAGAGGGACAACCTCCCACAGTCTGTGGGCTGACCAGTCTTGGGCCCTGCACTTATCCAATCAGGCAGTCCCCTTGCGGTTTCCTGCTGGGCTCTAATCCCTACCCACAGCTAGGCCTGTGGCCCTGGCTGTACCCCAGAGTCCACCTGAAAGATTCTAAGAGGGTATGGGAGAGTTTTGAACTGTGGAGGTGCTGGGTCCCCCATTCCCTCCGCTGGCCCCCATCCAGGTCTCAGGGTTGCCCATTCCTCTCTACTAAGAGACCCTGAGAGACCCAACCAAACATCGAGGGCAGCCTGCAAAGTGAGTATCTTCTTCCTCCCCCCAGTCAGAGAGACTTTCTCAGACAGTAGCTCAGACACCTGACCCTCACCTTGACCACAGATGAGCTTAGACACCTATCTGTATCAGCACCTGGCTGAAAACTGCCTTTTAGGATGACACCACTCTCCCAAACTCCTGTCTGGTCACAAGGAGCGTTGTCCACCTTCCGTAGGCTCAGGAAACACACAGCATCTACTCGGGTTCAGCCCTGTTTAGATAGCCAGCAAGACCAGGAAGCCTTTGAGAGCTTCATAGCCTGTTCATTCCCTAGAGCGATGGTTCTCAACCTCCCTAACGCTGCACACCTTTAATGCTACGCTTCCTCGTGCTGTGGTGACCCCTACCATAAAATTATTCTCAATCCTGCTACTACTACAAATCATAACGCAAATATCTGCTATGCAGGGTATCTGATATGTGCGCCCCAAAGGGGTCTCAACCCACAGGTTGAGAACTACTGCCCTAAACCAAGGAGGTTCTGGTGTTTAGGAAAACTGGCATGAACTACCCAGAGACTAGGAAAGTCTTCTCAGGTGAGAGGATAGTGCAGGTGGGTCTTGCAGGGTATGTGGGAGTTTACAGACGTAGGGAGCAAGAGGAAGAGGCACTCCAGGTGAGTCTGAACAAAAGGAGACACTGGCCACTTTCTGCGGGCAGCACTGAATCTGTGGTGTGCAGTGAGTGTCCAATTAAAGCATCCTCGTTTCCGGGAACAGGCAGCGGCAGTTATGAGGTTCAGGAGCAGAGACCTGCTCAACTCGGATGCAAGGCTACACAGCCCAGCTCTGCAGCCTCTGCACCACTAGCCGACTTTGAGCAAGTTCCGCATGCAAGGCCTGTCTTATGAGCTGTGAGTGGCACAACTGCCCCTACTGAGTGGAAGGCGATGCTGTAAGAAAGGCCACCGGCCACTTATGGCTGGCTATGGCATGGGACAGGGCAAATCAGGGCATTTCCTAATAGTGGTGCCCGAGTTGGAAGGATGGGCTGGCTGGCTTTAGGAAGGGTGAAGACGAAAAGGAGCTCTCTGGGCCCTGGCCCCCACCTTGAGCAGTGGCAGCTTTAGGGAAGCAGGAGACCCCCCCCCAATAATGTCACCAAACGAAGAGGTCACTAAAGCTGGGGAGGAAGGGGCGAGTGACTGGCAGCTGTGGTGTGAGGCGTGAGCCGGGCCTGTGTGTACCTGGGTAACCACAGCTGCTGGAGTTTTCCAAGGCTGTTGTGGGAGTAGGGGTGGGAGTGGGGGAGCGTTGCTAGGTAGAGAGGCCAGCTGTACTGGGGTCTGCACAGGTGTGCTGGTGGGGGTGGGGTAAGCGTGCCCCATCTCTTCTCCCATGCATGTGCATACCTGTCCTGGGCCTGGGGAGAAAGGCAGAAGGTCTTCACAGCCTCCCTGCTCTGCCGTTCCCGCCTTTCCCCCACCGTGCTCCACGGAGGAGCCAGGACTGACTTTGGAAGCTCTATCCCGGAAGCCGTTAGGAGCTTGGATGATGTCTGCCCTGCTTCTGTTCCATGGGCTTAGACTTTCTAGGAGCCAGTTTGTGTCTCCTGGAAGCCAAGCAGAGCCCTCTGCCAGGCCTGGCAGCCCCGAGGCAGCTGATGGGGCAGCAGCCCCTACTGCCTCACTTCTCCTTCAGGGCGCTGAGAAGACCTGCTGCCTTCAGGACTGGGACTTGGGCTTCCTGCCATCCCCCTGCAGACGCTAGTGTTGTTTTTAGGGCTGTTCTGATGGAACTGTGCCAGGAAAACGGGGAAGGAGTGTGTGTTTTCAGAGTTCTCTTAGTATATGTCGGGGTTCCATTCGTATGCTGGTGCATGGATAACAAGCGGATCTATAGCTCTTTGTATAGCTGTGTGCCCATAGGTCCGTCTCTGACTGTGTTATTTATCCCTGTCTTGTGTGGGAGGGTTTGCTTGTATGTAACCCAGATGTGTCTGTGTGCAGAAACGTCTAGATGCTGTGGGTGCCAAAGCTACCAACTCATCACACAGGCCGAGACACTGAGTCACAGAGGGCACACTGTCTGTTAGGAGCTAGGGCCTGGGTCCCTGTGGCTGTCCGCACAAGCGTCTTGGGGTTGAGATGCCCATGGAACTGTAAATAATGAGGGTGACTCTGGCTTAGGGTAGAAGGCCTGTTGGTGACTTTGCATGGAGGGGGTGGGGAGGCTGAGAGACTTGAGATCGCACCGAGGTGACTTGAATATGCCACATGTCCCCAAACACGGAGTCCTGAAATGTAGTCTCTGTTGCATGCCTGCCAAACACCTCGGGCCTATGGATCTGCTGATTGTTAATGAAGTGAGGGTCCAGGTGAACTGGAAGCACACCCTGATTGGGCTTCCCTACCCTGTCCCCAGTGTACGGATGGAGAATCGGAAGCCCAGTAAGGTCCCGTGGGGAGTCAGGAAAGTGGCAGAGCGCCCCTCCTTGGGGCCACTCTGGAACACAGCTTCCTCCTCCTTCTTCAGCCAGTACTGCCTGCTTAGTTCCCTGAGCACGCGCAGGGCTGGTCGGGTGACTGTCGGTGATGGGAACAGCCCAATAAAGGTTGTGTTCTCCTGCAGGTCTGAAGAAGCGTCCCAGACGGGTATCCTAGTGGGCCGCGCGGGTCGAGGCGATGGTATCATGTAGGTCTCTCGTCCTTTAGCCTAGCTGCGAATTCGCACCCAGGGCCCGCCCAGCCTCACTATGAGTCACGGTCCGAGCCCGCGGCTGGCCGATTCCCCGCAGCTTTCCAAGAGCAGCCTGCTTACCATCCTGGGCAGCCCGTCCCCCGAGCGCATGGGCCCGACCGACTCGTTGCCACCCACGCCGCCCAGCGGCACGCCGTCGCCCGGGCCGCCCCCTGCCCTACCCCTGCCCACGCCCGCCCTGCTGGCCGACGGGGACTGGGAGAGCCGCGAGGAGCTGCGGCTGCGGGAGCTGGAGGAGGCGCGCGCGCGAGCCGCGCAGATGGAGAAGACGATGCGCTGGTGGTCGGACTGCACGGCGAACTGGCGCGAGAAGTGGAGCAAGGTGCGCGCCGAGCGCAACCGGGCGCGGGAAGAGGTGCGCCAGCTCCGCCAGCGCCTCGACACGCTCACCAAGGAGTTGGCCGGCGCGCGCCGCGAGCGCCAGGAGGCCCAGGGCGAGTGCGAGGCGCGCGGCCGCGAGCTGGCCCGGCTGCGGGGAGCGCGCGGTGCCGTGGACAAGACGCACGACGGCCCGGAACCCGAGCGCGAGCAGGAGCCGGTGCGCGACAACGGGGCAGAGAGGCCGCCTGGCAGCCAGGTGCGCCCAGCTGCGAGGCTTGGAAGAAGGCAGCCATTCCGGCCAGCCTTGCACAGGGGCCCCGGTGGGAGGGAGGAAGGGAAGGAGCTAGTAAGGATCTGGTTTCCAGTGAGGTGTGTGTCAGCCCCGCGTGGTGGTAATGAAGGGAGGCAGGGAAGGAACACTTTGCTTTGGGGATTCCCAAGTTCTGGAGGTCGGACACACACACACACACACACACACACACACACACACACACACCTCTTAGAAGTCCTCAAATTCAATGACTTTTCCGTGCCAAGCACAGGAGAGATCCGTGTCATCACAGCCCCAGAGTCCCAGGGACAGTTTAGGAGGCTGCAGTCTGAGTTTGTACCCCAGCCCAGACACTCTATTCTGTGAGCCCCCTTTCTGTTATTTCCAACTGTCCCAGGTGGCAACCAGAGTTCCCCACAGGACCATCTGAGGTCAGGAGGATGGGAGGTCAGCCCTCCACAAGAGCCACCAATCTTCCTGTGCCCATGTTTGCCTCAGCCATGGGTAGTGATCTCTGCTTCACCATCTGTTCCAACTAGTCCACCCAGTGTTTGCATACTTGGGGTGACAGGGGCCTCTCCTGGGGGATGTTCCAGGACACAGGAAACCCTGGTAGCTAGCAGTGTGCTTCCAGGATGTGAAGGGGCTCAGGGCAGAGAAGGAGAATGAAGCAAGCAACAAAAGAGGAAACCAGGGCCGAGAGGCACTGTGTCACTTGCCCCAGGTCACTCAGCAAGCTCGGTTCAGAGCAGGGCCTGAGATGGCGGTGAGGATAGTGGCCAGGGCAAGGCCCTGGGCCAGGTGCAGTTCCTTACCTTGTTCCCCACAGGAGCTGGACCTGGTAGAGAGCCTGCTGAAGAACAGACCAGAGGAGCCTGAGGGCTGCTGGGATGCCTGCAGTGTAGCCGCTGGGGGCTCTCGGGTGAGCTCGGGCCGCCAGGATCGAAACCGTCTGCCCTGGGAGGACATAGCCAGTACAGAGGAGGACGCCTCCAAGTTGACTGCCCTGCGCCTACGGCTAGATGAGTCTCAGAAGGTTCTGCTCAAGGAGCGAGAGTGAGTCCTGTCAGGGAAGGTGGGGCCTGGGGCTGGGCATCCCCAGAATCCCAGGTGATGGCACACGAATGATTGCTGTTGAGGCACAATCTCTGATTACTTACCTTGGGGTGCATTTGTTGGTTTTTGTTTGTTTGTTTTAGTCTTTTTCATTTTCTCCCTTCCTCCTACAGCTTCCTCTCCTCCCCCATTCAGGACTGAACCCAGGAATTTCTGCGTTCTAGAGAAGCATTCTAGCAGTGAACCCATTGCAGTGTCTTTTTCACTTTTTATAAAGATTTTTAATTTTTTTTTAATTTTATGTATGTTGAGTGAGTGTGTGTGTGTGTGTGTGTGTGTGTGTGTGTGTGTGTGTGTACCATGTGAGTGTCTGTGCCCATAGGGGCCACAAGAGGGTATTGGAGCCCCTGTAAATTGAATTACATGTGTTTGTAAACTGTCATTTTGGATGCTGGGAACCAACCCTTGGTCCACCATGAAAAACAGCAAGTACTTTTACCTCTGAGACATCTCTATCCCTCATCCTTTGTTTTTAAAGTAGGACCTCAGTACATGAACTCAGGCTGACCTTGAGCTCAGTGTGTAGCCTGTGGTGGCCTCAAGCTTACTTCTGGTGACAGAGAGGATAGCAGGCTCAGGGAAAGCCAGGATGGGAGAGCAAGTTGGGAAGTTTAGGTTTAGAGGAGTTGTGTTTGTCACAGCGAGGTAACGGTTTGTGAGTGGATGGGGTCTGGAGGCCCAGACAAGTCTGGGCTAGAGGTGAAAAGGCGGGAGTCATCAGTGAACAGGTGGCCTTGAAAGCCAGGAATCTGAGAGTTAGAGAAGTGGATGGATGGGCAAGGAGAAGGCTATGGGATGCAGTCCTGGCTCTGGTAAGCTCAGAAGCTGGCTAGAGGGAGGTGGGGTGAAGAGGAAAGAGCCAGTTGCAGGGAGAAGGAACCAAGAGAGACTGTTTAACAGGAGGGTGGGCAGCTGGACTGAGCACTTAGGTGACCGGACAGCGACAGTGTTAGAGCACGGAGGTCATCGGTGGCCTTGATGAGGGCAATGAGAGGGCATGGCCTCGTGTTCATGAATAGTCTGCCGCTCTGGTGTCCAGGAAAGGAGCATATAGATTAGATACTTGGTTCACATATATGATTTTACTTTTTAAAAATAACCAACACAAGGGCTTGGGAAGAGGAGATTAATTAGCTCAGTGGAAGAGTGCTTGCCTAGCATGAATAAAGTCCTGGGTTCCGTGGGCAGGGGGTGGGAGATGGAAGAAGGAAGGAGGGCAGAAGGGGGGAACGAAGAAAACACACCCTGTGATGACAATTAAAAGCCAAAGGGGTCAGTAGCTGGGGAGAGGATGACATAGGTTCCTCCTGACCCCCTTCCCTACCCACACCTCATCGCAGACTTCTAGCTACAGAACACAGGAGAACGCAGCCTACTGTTTAAATGATGACGGCACCATCAAGCTAATACACTCCCTGAAATATGAAGTCAAACGAAAGCTGTCTAACAAAGCCCGTGTGCTTGCCTGTCCCAATCCCCAGGGATAAGCTGGCTCTGAGCAGGAACATCGAGAAACTGGAGGGGGAGCTTAGCCAGTGGAAGATCAAATACGAGGAGCTGAGCAAGACCAAGCAGGAGATGCTCAAGCAGGTGAGGAGGAGGTGGCAGTGACGGCAGGGGTGGGGGGATGTGGAACTTTCCGGCGGTGGTGGTTGCATGCGGGAGAGTTCCAGCCTTGGGGACAAGTAGGGCGGGCAGGGAGATGATAGCAGCCCAGCAGGTAAGATCTATGAGTTACAAAGACATCAAAACAGCATGAAGGAAATGGGGCAGGAGGCCAAGGAGGGCCTCTGTAAGATGACCTACAGGTGTGACAGGTGGGTCACACCTGTAATCACAGCATTCAGGAGGCTGAGACAGGAGGATTGCCTTGAGTTTAAGGCCAACTTGGATACAGAGTGAGACCCTGACTCAACATCCCTCTTCCACTCCCTACAAGATGCTGTTTGAATAGAGACCTAAAGGGTGTTAGATGAAGCTGTTCTTGAGAAGGTAGGGGATCTGGGTGCTCACAGCGGCAATTCTGGAGTAGGCAGACACCTGGAGTGCTGGGCATGGCTAGTGTTGGCTGGAGAATCCTGTCAGAGGTGTGATTTAGGGGCTAAATTTCTGAGATTATGTGACCAGAATGGAGGCATCAGATGTGACATTTAACGTGTGCCAAGTGAAACTGAAGCTTCATCGTGGTCAAAGGAGCTGCATCTTCACAGTCCCATCTTAGCTGTGAGGCAACTGAGGTTGGGAGGAGGAACCTTGCAGAAGGCGCTCAAAGCAGGCTGGCTGCCCCTTCTATCTCCTGTACAGATTGGATTTGGCCACCAGGGGGCGCAGCCATCCTGGGAAAGCCTTGCTGGAGCCTCTGGGATCAGAGAGGTCAAAGCTCAGAGATTTGCGCAGGATAATTGCCAGACCTGGCTTTTCCCTGGGAATCTCTTCAAGCTCATAAAAGAACCCCAGGCCCCTTGAATCTCCCTTCTTCTTTTGGGTCCCAAAAACCTGGCCCCACATTATTCAGACTGCCAAGTATAGTTGCTGGAAGGACACTAATGGAGCGCCAGTGTGCAGTTGAGCAGAAAATCCTCTTGTGCCTGGCTTCCTTCCACGGTATTGTCCTAGAGGTTTGCTGTGCACTTGTGTGGAGCAGCAGCTTGGGAGAAGTTCCCACAAGTGGTTCTTAGGCCCGTACATGTACACTCTTGTTGAGAGCTACCAGGGTTGAGCACTCTCTGCCTTCAAGACTTGCAGTCTTGTGAGCAAGTGGGAGCATGATGTTGTAGGACTTTCTGATAATGTAGGAGTTGGGTTCTATCTCAGGGCACCAAGAAACCCTCATAGGGGCTTTGGTGTGGGTGGAGGGAGGATTGTGAGGGAGGTGGCAGACATCCGAAGCCCAGAGTGATCAGATTCAACCTGATCCCTGGTGCTCCATCACCCTGGCTGGTGCTCATCTTCAGCACTGATGGTCCTCATGACCAGGCTGGGTGATGTCCTTGCAGCTCAGCATCCTAAAGGAGACGCACCAGGATGAATTGGGCCGCATGTCTGAAGACCTGGAAGATGAACTGGGCGCACGCTCTAGCATGGATCGCAAGATGGCTGAGCTGAGGGGTGAGGTGAGTGGCCATCAGGAGGAAGGGCAATGCCTGGGCCTCAGGGGTTCAATGGAGCAGTCAGTGGGAAAAAGACAGAAGCCAGGGCTGTGCTGTGAGGAGCCCACGCCAGGGGCCTAGCCTGCAGGAGGCACCCCCCTTCCCACACAAAACCCAGAAGCGCCCCCACATCCTGCACACCGTGAAAAAAAAAAAAAGCCCAGCATAATTATAGCTGCTGCAGCTGGATCTGCTTCCTGGTGCCATTTTTGGCTTCAGGAGAGGGGGGTGCATCTAGCTTGTCTCCACACCCCTGTCCCCCAGGAGCCTCACTGCCTCCCTTGCTGTTGCAGATGGAAAGGCTCCAGGCAGAGAATGCAGCCGAGTGGGGCCGCAGAGAGCGGCTGGAGACGGAGAAGCTGGGCCTGGAACGGGAGAACAAGAAGCTGCGTGCGCAGGTTGGAGACCTGGAGGAGGCCCTGGCCCGCAGGCGGCGGCAGAACGCCAGTGCCCTGGACTGTGACCTGAGGGCCAGCCAGGCTGCCCTCTTCGAGAAGAACAAGGTGGGGACAGGGACTGACGCCTAGGACCCCCATCCAGCTAGCCAGCTGTTCGTCCTGCATGTGGACAACTAAGATATAGACTGAGCCTCTTCGAGCCCCAAACCAGACATCCAAAAGGCTCCCAAACCCCCAATTTGAGCATCAACATGATGCCTTTAAAGAGCAGAAAATTTCATAACTTGGTGTGGTGGGTCCCAGTCAAAATGTGAGGGCAATAAAATTGCCCTCAGGCCCCTGATGACGTATACATGAAACTAATGGGTTCTGTTTAGACCCAGGTCCTGTTCCCAAGAGACCTCATGGTGTGTGTGTGTGTGTGTGTGTGTGTGTGTGTGTGTATGTGTATGTATACCCCCAAAGTCCAAAAATTCTGGATTCTAGGCCGAAGATAAGGTTTGGTAGTGTACCTACCAATCATACACCAAGCCCTGGGTCCCACCCTCAGCACCACAGAAGGTAGTGTGACATCTCACAGCCATGGTCCCCAAACCTGAGAGGTGGAGAGAGGCAGGAGGATCAAAAGTTCAGAGCTATCCCTTGGCTGCAGAAAGAAATTCAATACCACCCTGAGCTACCTGAGAATTTTTTTTTTTTAACTGAAAACCAATACACTTTTGAGCCTAGGCACTTCCAGGAAAAGATACTCGACCTGTGGTTGCGTTTACTAAACAGCTACTACAGGATAAAGCAGTTGGTGATTATAGTAGCGACATGTATTGAGCACCTACTGTGTGATCGTGACAGCAAGGAACAGACAGGTGTGTCTGCCTAGTCCACAAATGGCGGCTTAAAGGGACGAGGTGCTGTCTCCGTCACATATGGTTAGGCCTGGCCCTGTAAAGGCTTTTTTTTGGGGGGGGGCAGCGACTTTGGGCTGAGGTGTGCAGGAAAGGCAGAAGGTAACTGATGGTAAACTTTCCAGAGAGTAGAGTGAGAACTGGGGAGTCACAGAAGAAGTGAGGACTCTGATGGGTAGTTACCACAGGGGCGCCCAGGTGTAAGAGGCAGGGACCTCGGGCTGTGCTGTGAGAGCAGCAGGCACAGGCGGGGTGGGCAGCTACCAGGTGGAGGACAGTGATAGGACAGAGGGCGGGGAGGCCGCTGTGGTTCCCAAGGCTGCAGGGGATGACAGACAACAACCTGGGGTTGGGGGAGGACAACGTGAAGACGGACTCAGGTGATCAACTCTTTTCCTGGCCGACCCACTTTGACCTCTGCCCTCCTCCTGTGCCACATATTCTCCAGCCTAGCTCATCCTCAGACCCGGGAGTTTAACACGCTCGTCACCAAGACTGTAGTCCTTGTTGCTTCCTCCCCCAAGTCCTGACCTGAAGCGCCACAGCCCGCTGGACAACCTTCCGGGCTCATTACGTCATCCACCCAAGCGGAGCCCCACTGGGTCACGCACCCAGCCCTCTCACCTCACTAGGTGGCCTTGCCAGCCCCCACCAAGCCTTGACCTTCAGACAGGCGGGACATGTCTGCAGAGGAGACGCCAGGCTCTCCTGGCTGACTGCCCCCCATGAGCCCCTCTGGGTGAGCATGTGACCCGAGCCTCCCCACCCCTGCAGGAGCTGGCAGATCTGAAGCACGTGCATGGCAAGCTCAAGAAACAGTTCCAGGAAAAGGTGGCAGAGCTGGCGCACGCCAATCGGCGCGTGGAGCAGCACGAGACGGAGGTGAAGAAGCTGCGGCTGCGGGTGGAAGAGCTCAAGAAAGAGCTGGCCCAGGCCGAGGATGAGGCAAGTATCCCCTGGCCCGACAGGAGTGGGCCGTGGGCCCATCTGTGCTGCATACTGTATGCCGGAGCCAGGCACCCGAGACAGTGAGCTCTTGAGGGCAGCTGGAGAGGGAGGAGAGTGGATGAGATGAATGTGCGAGTGGATGAATGGAGGTGTCAGGAGTTAGGTAGAAGGCAGGAGGATTCCCCCACCAAGAAGACTTGGTAGACAGATGGATGGAGAGCGGAATGCATGAATGAGCCAGGGGAGCAGGTGGCTGATGGGTGTGGGTGTACAAACAGATCGATAGCTGGGTGGGTCTATGGACAGGAGAGGAAGGGCATCTGATGAGCAGCAGGTGGGTGTGGGTACTGGTTAGAGTGATGCCTGCTGGGTAGATTTGGAGACTGATGGCCCTCAGGGAGGGAGAATCGGATAGAAGTGGTCCTAGGGCAAGGCCTCAGGAACAAGAGCTGGGTTGGACACAGTTCCAGAACAAGGGAAGTGGCCGAGCCAGGCAGCCTCTGGCCAAACTGAACCTCATGCTGTCTGTCCTGCTCGCCCCAGCTGGATGAGGCCCACAACCAGGTTCGGAAGCTGCAGCGGTCACTGGATGAGCAGACAGAGCAGAGTGAGAACCTACAGGTTCAATTGGAGCACCTGCAGTCCAGGTAGGCGGGGTGCCCTGCCTCGGGAGGGTCCCGAGTGCACAAGGCAGGGGCTGCAACCCTCGAGAGAGCCAGAGGGGAAGACCGAGAAGGAAGAGCTCCTGGGGCCAGAATCCTGGCCCTTCCAAACAGGAAGGGCCAGGGCCAGGAAGCTGCTGGGGAGTGGCTGCAGGAAGACGGCCCAGCTGTGGGCTCTGGAATTGTCTCCTTCAGGTGGGCGGGCTGCTGGTGGTGTGAGCACGTGGAGGGCTGCCAAGGAGGCTGGGCTCAGGGCCAGCTGCCAGGGGGGCCAGGCTCTGGACAGGCCAGTGACGCTGGGAGTCCTTGTCAAGAAGCAGTACTAACCCCTGGGGTCTTGGGGCTGGTTGGCCCCAGGGACAGCAGCAGTCTGAAAGGTTGAAGGGTAGAGAGTGGCGGAGAGCGACAGGCCAAGCCCCTCAGCTATGGCAGGGACCCTCAGCCGCTAAAGAAGCGGAGAGGGGCTTAGATCCACCCACCTGGCACACTGCCACCTCTCCTGTCCGCACCCCACTGTCCCAACTCTATATCCTGCCTCCTCCATACACTTTACGCTTCCAAGACCAGCTGGGCATATCAGAGCATGTCTGTCAGAGCCCCCCAGACTGAAGCTGGGCAGCCCCCAAAGCATGTGACCAGTGTGGCCACACCCCTTCCTGCAATCTTACCTGCGGGTGGAGGGACCCGGGGCCTACAGCCAGACTTTTTGGGTAGGGGAGAGGCTGGGTGACCTACTAGGACACTGAACTCCCCCTGGTCAGCTCCCCCGTCTGTAAAATGGAGGTCAATCACTGTAAAGTGAAGAGAGGACATTGCATCTTTAAAAGAGCACCTGAACCAACAGATGCTGTGGCGTCATTGCACCTAACTTGGTGATGTAGCTCAGTAGTCCAAGACCTGGATTTGATCCCCAGCACCACATAAAATGAGCATTTTTTTGGGTTGCACGCCTGTAATCCCAGCACTCAAGAGTTAGTGGCAGATCAGAAGTTCAAGGTCATTCCCAGGTACATAAGGGATTTGGAGGCTAGCCCGAGCTAGAAATTTTTTGGGAATCACTGGACCATTTGCTGAGCCACCATTTGCACTGTTTTGGCCACTTTCATTGCATCCTCTGGGAAGGGACTAAGAGAGGGGCTAGATACTATGTCAAGTGCCTGCTGTGAGGCAAAGAAGGGGGGTGATCTTTTCCCTGAGGACTGGAAGACAAGGGAAAGTCCTTCGATGACCACCCAACAGTGGGTGGCCTGGTGGGATCTCCTGGTCATTCATCAGCAATGGGTTTATTGAGCATCTGCTTAGTACTGCTGTGTGCTGAGTGCTTGTGGGTAGGACGGGCTTTGGAGCCAGGCCTCACAGTTGTGTGGCCTAATCGACGTGGGTCTCGGTTTCCCCATAGCCTGGAATGACGCCTGAAATCCGTACAGGGTCCAGGCATGGCTCTGAGTCAGGTTTGTTACATACCCAGCTCCTCACTGTCCAACCCTGTACCTCACCCCCATCAACGGGCTGCTCGCTGAGCCTGGGGCTTTCCAGAAGGCTCAGCCACATTCCTGGGGAACCATAAACTCTCAAAATGGGCAGGTTGGCTCTGCTCAGCCTCGCCAGCACCTCTGCCGGGGGCGGGCAGGGCCACCCAGGATTGCTGCCTCATTTTAGTTTGTAACTTTTCTTGCTTTAATGTTCCGGGACAGCGCACTAAATCACCGCGCAGTAATGGAGCCGCACTCTCGCCCCTCCCTGCCGCGTTAATAATTCATGCCTTCCAGTAAGATGCATGGAGTGACTCCCTTGTTGGGGGCACTGTGCTCACTCCTCCTCGTAGGGGCACACTTTGGCTTTGGAAATTGCACTGTGAGGAACTAGGGCCGAGCAGAAGCCAGGAACGTAGTGTGCCCCACACTTGGTCACTTGGCTCCCCTATGAGGCACCAGGCCCATCTCAGTCACTTCTCCAAGTCCATCATCTACAGCAGCGCTGGCCCTGCAGCTCAGAGCCCAACCCTGCTGTCTCCCAAGTGACTTTAGGCAGGTCACTCAATTTCCTTATGCTTGTTTCCTTTTATATAAATTGGGGTGACCAAAGCATTTCCCCCATTTGAGAACAGGCGCCTCAGAGTACATTGCAGCCCCCACAGATGCACTATGACTCCGGCTCTGACCTGTCGCCCCACCCCTCAGGCTCCGAAGGCAGCAGCAAAATGCACCCCTTTTCGGGAAGATTCGTAGTACCCGATTTAGCACGGAGGAAGCCGGAGATGGAGCCAGCGACCTAGATGAAGACGAGGACCTGCAAATCCAGGTGGCCTAGAGCATCCAGGGGCGGAACAGGACTGACCCGAAGCCACAGGTGCCCAGCCGAGCATCCACTCAAACCGGGCAGCTGTCCTTACTCTCTGCACCCTCCTGGGTTCCATCCCCCTGCTTCGGACCGCTTCCTTCCCTCCCAGGAAGATAGCAATTTCACCTACCGGCACCCCAGGGAGAGGGAGCCTGTTGGATATGTATATTGTATATATGTCCAGGGTTGCCTGGACCTATTCCATTTTATAAACACAGGACAGCAGCTCTCAAGACTCCCACCTGCATAGGGTTCCATGCAGGGATGGAGTATGCCGAGGGAGGCTTGGTGGCCCGGCAGGGGCTGTTCATAATAAGATGCCATGAAGACAGACTTTTGTAATAAATGGAGTTCAAGCTCTCAGGGCCGAGTCCTGAAGGTTCGGGAGACTCTGGGAGGAGGCGTGGTGGTGGCATTAGCATGCACCTAACATTGAACTCGAGTTCAGGATTGGTGAGTGAACAATTGGGTACCAGTGTGGCTGCAGGACCTGGTGTCCAGCCTGTCATGAAAGAAAGTATGGTGTCCATCTGGTCTGGATGAGAGGAGACCCTCAAATTTCTGCTCTGTCCTTTACTGACTGTGCAACCTCAGGGACATCCCTCCCCTTCTCTGAGCCTCTGGCTTTTGACCTGGAAGTCAGTGTTCCGGGGCTCATTGGGCAAAGCCCTTGCCACGCAAGCCTGATGGCCTGGGTTCGATCCTCAGAACTGGCATAAAGGTGGAAGGAGAGAATGAATTCCATGAAGTCCTCTGACCTCCACAGGTGCACACACCAACAATAATAGTAATACATTTTGTAACTAAAAAAAAACTACGTCACAATTCCTGGAGATGTACCCTAGGCAGGAGGATTTGCCCACAGGGTGAAGAAAGAGCTGATTGCTGTAGGATTAGGTGATGGATGGAAATTTACTCACACGAAATAGGAAACCCCCATCTTTGGTTGTTGATGTGAGGTAGGGTCGTAGGCATTTCTGGCTAGCCCGAAACTGCAGCACAGACAGATAGGCCTTCAACGCAGTCCTCCTCCCTCAGTCTCCAAGTATGGGATTGCAGGCATGCACCACCACACCCAGATAGTAATTTTATTTTTGATATCTAATTTCCAAACTTCATTAGAAGATTTACATAGACTTTGAAGGAAATGGGTATTGGAGTCACAGCAACAGACACTTAAATTTCCTTAAGTCAGCCAGGTAGCAGTGCATGCCTTTAATCCCAGCACTTGGGAGGCAGAGGAAGCAGATCGCTTGAATTCCAGGCCACCCTAATCTAAGGAGTGAGTTTCAGGACAGCCAGGGTTAAACAGAGAAACAGGGAAATTCATGGATCTTCCCCTCTTGTCAGGCTCCGTAGATGTGAGGTTTGTTCCAATAGGCAGTTGGTGAACTTCCTTTACTCAGGGATGTACAAGAGGCTCAGCCTAGCACAAAGAGAAATTAAACTGAGCTCATAAAAGGCTCCCGGTTCGAGTAGAGAGCTGCAGTAAAGACGTTATCTCTGTGTGATCTGGTCAGGAAGGTCCCTGGAGGCCACACTGCTGGGATCCAGAGGTGCCATGAGTCCCAGGGACTAAGGAAGGGATGAGGCTGCCGAGGGGCCCCAATTGGGAGCCAGAGCTGGTGTTGGTGGGTTGTCAGAGGCTCCAGGCCCCTCGTGGGAGTCCAGGTGAAGGAAGAAGGGAGAAAAAGGCAGCCCCCTTGTCCATCAGTCTGTCAGTGTCCCCAGGACACTGTCCCCAGGAGTCATCCCAGCAGGAAAGGACCATCTCCTGCCAGGCATCTTTCTTCTTCCTCTCTCAAACAGGAAATGGGCCAGAGGAAAGACTTGAGAGGGCTGCCCTTTGACCCCCAGGAGCTATAAGCCAGGCCCTCACTGACAGCTGCCATTCCCAGACACAAAGCAGAGCCCTGGCTCCCCCAGACTCCCTGGCACCTCCAGAGAGATAGCATAGAGTAGAGGCCTCCTCACGGCGACTATCTCCCTACCATGCCGCTTAGAGAGTGGCTGTGGTCAGAAGCTCTGGCCTGGGAAAGGGAAGTCTCAGGAGCAAGGCTAGGGGAATGTAGGGAGTGTAGAATGTGGGGGTTGGGCCCTGCTCACAGCCCTTCATGGGTCACTGCTACTTTCAGTGAAAGTCATCCAGGGGTCATGGCCGGCAGAAGCATTAGCTTTGGCTCACATGGTGCCTTAAGGAAAATCTTTAATGCGCTGCTAATATTAGTCATGGGAAGTCTGCCCGTCCAAATGTGGGTTTCCCTCTCCTGAGCTGTCAGCACCTTTGACCACACAGCCCCTGCTCTCACGTGGCCACAGCTGCTCTCAGGAGGAAAGAGGCACACTGCACCCCAGTCCCAGCAGCCCCTGCAGCCTTATCTTGTGCCCACTTAGGGAGGCGCTTGAGGGCAGGATCCCCTTTGAATAGTGGAAGGGGAAGCCAGAAGGCAGGCAGTATGGGGTACAGCCATGCCACTTGTCTACAGGCTTTGGTCACTGGGAGGGTGAGTGCCAAAAGTTTCACAAGCGGCTCTCACCAGTCTTTCCCACAGCCAGTGAGACAAGTTACCGTTATCATGGTCCCATTTATGCCAGAATCCAGGGGCTCAGAGGGAGCAAATAACTGGTCCCACAACCACACAGCTGAGTAGTGGTGGTCCCATCCCTGTAGGCAGTCTGAGTGCAGAGCCTGCCCATGCTACCCTTCCAGGGTAAGGAGCCTATGGCCTTACCCACTTCTTGCATATCCAGCCTTTCCAAGCTGGATCCCCACTAGCACCCGCAATTCCCTTCCCCCAACAGCCCTCCACAGCCTCAGCTTACCCATTTCTCTCTTAGTGTGAATGGTTGTCTACTACCCCACCACCACCCCCATCCCACTAACTGCCCCCAGCACAGTGTCCTGGGTCAATGGGAGAGAAAGGTCAGATAAACTGGGTGTAGTGTCATAAGCCTTTAATCCTAACACTAGGGAGGCAGAGGCAGGCAGACCTCTATGAGTTCAAGGCAAGCCTGGTCTACATAGTGAATTCCAGGATAGCCAGAGCTACATTGTGAGACCTTACCTTGAAAAAAGGTAGGGGGGATTGGTATTACAGAGGAGTGGAGGAAGGATGGAGAACTGGGTGATAGAGAGCTGAAGCCAGAGCCTGGCCCACTCCAGCTACTTGTCCTTGGGGCTTGGGGTGGGGGATAGGTTCTGAAGAGAGCAGGCATTCCAGGGAATCCAGTGCAGCAGCCTCTTATTGCCTCTCATCCCAGGCGCTAGAGTTCCCAGATAGGCTGGGTTTGCGTCCCAGGTCTGGCTCCTCCCCCTACATTGTGACGGAGGACTGGGGACCCCCAGAGTCTGCCCTTGTTCTTTATCCAAGCAGACTTTATCAGGCTGTCTCTCCAGGAAAGCCACTCTCCCTGAAACCTCCCTGGAACCCCCCAGATTTGCATAACGTATGGCCCGTCCCGCTTTCCCACCAACTATGTGTCTTCTAATCCACTTTGGTTTCTCAGTACAAAGGGAAGCTCAAATACGGACTAGCCAAGCCCACCTCCTGTGAGACCACTGTCCATGCTTTTTCTGCCTTCCTCCACTGCTCTGCACAGCCACCCAGACCCTAGAGCTTGCCCACTTAGGAGGCTGAAAGCTATTCCAGCCAGACCTTTTGGGGCATCGGGTGGGGACTGGAGACAGAGGAAGCACCCGGGAGCCAGCTGCAGCTCAGCCCACTGCCCCCACTGCCATCAGCAGCAGAAGACTGCTGACTCTACCCACTAATTACAGGTTGTGAGGTGCCAGCTGCCTCCCTGGCCCCAGGCAGGTGCCTCTGAAAGGAGCAGGGGCTCCTTGGAAAGACCTTCCAGCCCTCTTGCAGTCCACAGCCAACTGCTACTGCCCTTGATAATCTCTGAAAGGAGGAGCCTGGAGAGGCGTGAACAGAGGCCTCTGGCTCCCACATACAGGTTTCCCTCCCAACCCAAGAAATAGCCACGGCTGTCCCCCACTGCACAAGCTTCCATCCACACACACCGGGGGACCCGCTCTAGCCTTGAGGACACCCTCCGAGTGTTCCTAGCATCCTGGCACTCGGCCGCAGTCCAGACAGACCTTCTGGGGATCCCTCTCTCCCTCTCCCCTGCTCACTTCCCAAACACCATCTCTGAACTTGCCTTGTGGCCAGAGCACCCCTGAAGCAGGTCAGCCTGGATATTGGATTCCAGACTGCACCATGAGGGCTTTAGAGCTACCTATCTGTCCCTAGCTGGACTGGACTTCAACCTCTGAGGAAGGGCAGCTGATCAACCCCGGCAGAGGAGCCGAAGGCTTTGGAATCATGCTCCTTCCTACCTGTGCTGTTGAATGTTAGTTTTCACAACTGCCTGGGAGACGGCTAAAATAGGAAAACTGAGACCACAGAGGGGAGGCGACAGCCAGTAGTGACAAGGTCAAGACTAGGGTTCCATGGATGCTGACTAGTTGCTGGTTAGCTTGTTGGTGAAAGGAGGCGAGGCTAGGAGGGGAGGGGGTTTGAACTAAGGGTGCCACCACAGCCATCACCAGGCTTTGGATCCTCTGCAGAGCCCTTTCTTATCTCCAGCCTCGCTCCATCCTGTCATTTAGGTACAGCTGAGGTCTGGAGAGGTTATCCCTGACCCTGTGGCTCTATCCTGGGAATCACAGATCCTTCCAATAGCTCCCGCTCCCTGACTCCTGCTCCTACATTTAAGTAATTCCAGAGGACGGGGCTCAATGGTAGAGCACTTGCTTGGCTTGTGCAAGGCTCTGGGTTCTACCCCAGCACTGCAAAAAAGGAAGGGTTACTATTGCTGTGACAAAGCACCACGACCAAAGCAACTCTTTATTTGGCTACACTTCCATATCACTGCCCATCACCAAAGGAAGTCAGGACAGGAACTCAAACAGGGCAGGTCCTGGAGGTAGGCACTGATGCAGAGGCCATGGAGGAGTACTGGTGGATGGCCTGTTTCCCATGGCTTGCTCAGCCTGCTTTCTTATAGAACCCAGGACCACCAGCCCAGGGATGACACCACTCACTGTGGGCTGGGCCCTCCCCCACCGATCACTAACTTAGAAAATGCCTTACAGCCTGATCTCATGGAGGCATTTCCTCAACTGAGGCTCCTTCCTCTCTGATGACTCTAGCATGTGTCAAGTTGAGATAAAACCATCCAGGGCAGGGACAGAGTGTGAGTTAAGTGTGGAGGTTCACGTGTGTAGTTGCTGTACTCCAGAGCTAAGGCCAAGAGCTTATGCTAAAAATTTAAGACGAGCCTGAGCCAGATAATCAGACCCTGTATTTAAACAAACAAACGAGCAAACAGCCACACACACACACA